GAAACGTTCCTGGACGTCCTTAATAAACTTAGAAAGTTAGTGGCCGACTCCGAGGCTGAACGCGAGGCCGACCGGGCTCAGAAGGGGAACGGGGGCTCCGTGGGGGCGGCGCCGGTGACCATAGACACTGACGCCGCGGTTGCGGGGCCCTCGGACTCCGGAATGAGCGCTAGGCTCGACGAGCACTCTCGGCTCCTTCTGGAGAGCAACGAGAGGATGAAGGCTCTCCAGGAGCAGCTCAGTCGGGTGGCCGAGGAACAGCAGCGCAGCTACGCCAGTGTGGCTGCCGCGGGGCCGCAGCGGCCTTCGAGGCAAACGGCCTTACACTCGGTGGTCGTCACCTCCAAGGACGACATGGAGACGGGAGAGGAGGTCCTCGGAAGAGTTAGACGGACCATTGATGCTAAGGAGGGCTGGGTTAAAGTGGACCGGGTCCGGAAGGCCAAAGACCGAAAGGTCATTATGGGTTTCGGGACTGTCGAAGACAGACAGAAAGTGAAGGAAAGACTGGCGAAGGAAGGAACGGGCCTCTTGGTCGAGGACGTTAAGAACAGGGACCCGCTACTGATCCTCAGAGGTGTTTTGACCGTCAATACCGACGATGAGATAATCAAGGCCCTAAGAAACCAAAATCGGGACCTCTTTAATGGCCTCGGCCTCGGAGATGATCGCCTTGAAATTAAATATCGCAGGAGAACAAGGAACCCGCACACGGCCCACATCGTCCTGAGTGCGTCGCCCACCCTCTGGGCGAGAATAACCGGCGTGGGCTCGGTCCATGTCGACCTTCAGAGGGTGCGAGCAGAGGACCAGTCGCCACTGGTCCAATGCACGCGATGTCTCGGATACGGCCATGGTCGAAAGTACTGTAAGGACCCTGAGGACCTTTGCAGTCACTGCGGCGGGCCGCACCTGCGATCGAAATGCGCGGATTGGATGGCGGGGTCCCCACCGTCCTGCCGGAACTGTCGTCGGGCGAAGTTCGACCATGTCGAACATAACGCCTTTAGCGACGACTGTCCCGTCAGGAAACGGTGGGATGACCTCGCCCGCTCATCCGTAGCGTATTGCTAAGGTTGTGCCGGTGAATGCAGAGGCCCTCGAAATCCTGCAGGCGAACCTCCAGCGCAGTAAGTTGGCACACTCCGAGCTGCTGATCGAAGCCTCTAACCTGGGTGCGCGGGTAGCTCTGGTGCAAGAGCCATACGTTGGAGGGGTGGGACGGGTGAGGGATCAGAGTGGGACCAGAGTCTTCCAGTGTGCGGACCATGGAAGTGGGACTGTGAAGGCCGCGATCATAGTTTTCGACGCGGACCTTCACATCACACAATACTCAAAACTCACCACGACCAACATCGCAGTGGTGGGAATCCGTGTCCGCAACTGGGAGATCATCCTGGTCTCGTTCTACTTCGAGCCCGACGTGCCAATGGACTCGTACCTAGCACACCTGCGCCGGGTGCAGTGCGAGACAGGAGCTCGGAGTGTTATAATTGGGGGCGACTCCAATGCCAAATGCGTCTGGTGGGGCAAAACTCACCACAACCAACATCGCAATGGTGGGGATCCGGGTTCGCAACTCGGAGATTATCCTGGTCTCGTTTTATTTTGAGCCCGACCAGCCGATGGACTCGTACCTGGCTCACCTGCGCCGGGTGCAGTGCGAGACGGGAGCTCGGAGTGTCGTGATTGGGGGCGACTCCAATGCCAAATGCGTCTGGTGGGGCAGTCCCGTGACGGATCGCCGGGGCGAGGCTATGCACGGGCTACTGGAGGAACTCGGTCTCTGTCTCCTGAACCAAGGGGAAACCCCCACCTTCGACACCATCCGGGGCGGCGAAAGGTACATCGGTATCGCCTGACCTGCTTAGCTTGGTGGACGGCTGGCGCGTGCGCGAGGACCTGATCAGCTCGGACCACAACGCCATCACCTTCTTGCTCACAACTAAACACATAAACACAAACACTATTAAGCAAACCACTAGAAAATTTTACACAAAAAAGGCGAATTGGACCTTGGTCTAATTAAAACGCGGGAACACTTCACAACAGACACTATACAAAACATACACACACCAACACATTTGGACGTAGCGGTAACAAAATTAGAAAACATCATACACGAAACATGTATAGAGTCGATACCGCGCATAAAACACAAGGAGGTTTTGTCGATGCCGTGGTGAAACGAGGGGTTGGCAGTGCTCAAGCGCGAGGTAGCCACCAGCAAAGGTAGGATCAGGTGTGCAGCACCGGTTAGGCGTCAGAGGGTTATCGGGGAGTACCTGGAAGCGAAGGAGAGATACGAGACCGAGGCGAGGCATGCGCAAACGCGCAGCTGGGTCGCCTTCTGCAAACGACAGGACGGGGAGACAGTGTGGGGGGGGATATACAGGGTCCTGGGCAGGACAGGCAGAAGAAACATAGATCCACCGCTGATCGTAAATGATATCGAGCTAGATGCCAGGGGCTCGGCCCGACTCTTGGCTGAGACCTTCTACCCGGGGGACTCCGAAGAGGATGACTCCGAGGAACACCGCCGGGCAAGGGTCCTGGCCGAGCGGGCCGACATTGAGACTTCTTCGGATCAAGGAGACCAAGCCTTCACTCATCTTGAGCTGAAGTTGGCTAGCCGGTCCTTTGACCCGAAGAAGGCCCCGAAGGGACGGTTTTACCCGGACCTCTTTTTGTGCATCTTCAACAAGTGCCTCGAACTCCACTATTTTCCTAGGCCCTGGAAGGAGGCTACGGTGATCTTTCTCCGCAAGCCGGGGAAAGTCACCTATACGACTCCAAAGTCGTACCGCCCGATCGGACTCCTTCCGGTGCTTGGGAAAATCCTGGAGAAAATGACCGTCGCCAGGTTACAACACCACCTAGTGCCCAAACTAAGTACTCGCCAGTTCGGCTTTATGCCCCAGCGAAGCACCGAGGACGCCCTCTATACCCTGGTGAACCACATCAGACACAATCTGGAGAGGAAGAGAATTGTTGTTCTGGTTTCGCTGGATATAGAGGGCGCCTTCGACAACGTCTGGTGGCCCAAAATCAGGGCCAGGCTGGCTGAGGAAAAATGCCCCAACAACATCCGGCGTCTTCTGGGCAGCTACCTGAGCGACAGGCGAGCTAGTTAAAGTTATGATTTAGTAAATTTTATAAGAATATTCGCCAAGTCCCTCTCTAGTATAATAATGGTATAACACTGTTTTTATGTAGCAACACTATTCAGACTTTGACATAACATGTGACATGTGCAACCCCAAAATCTCAGAATTAAAACTTAAAAACTAAAATCAACTGCGTTATTACTCATCACCTCAACAATTATAACATCTGTTAGATTAATGTGTCATAAAACTAATGACCCAGAATGTAAGAACACCCTATCCCCACTCACAGTGCGTTTCACTTAATTTCAAAACGAAACAAACGGTCAGCATGGTTTGGTGGTATAGGGACCGTGTTTAAACACGTTTTCGGGACCCTTGATGAAGATGACGCCTTAAAATATGACTCCGCCATAGAGATAGTCCAACAAGATCAGAAGAAAATCGCCAAACTCATGAAAGAAAATATCTTAAGTACTACTTCCACACTAGAATCCTTTAAACAGACAATGATTACGATAAAAAATAATGAAGATATTCTCAGCGACTCTATAAATAAAATCCTGATAGATATCCTTACCGAAATAACTAACACCCTACTAAACCAAAATAAAGTCCATTTCGTATTAGCCAACCTCGGGAGTTCCCTATTATCCTTCCAATTAGAAGATATAATCAACGCCATAATTTTAACTAGCCAAAATATACTGCACCCAAATATTTTGACCCCACACAAAGAGCTCGTCGATAACGATAGACACCTACCTGGGAACACTGAAATACCTATTCTTCTAAGCTTAGATAATATACACTTAATATTAAGTTTATCCAAGGTTGCTTGTCTTTATTATAATAATAAGCTAGTTTTTGTGTTACAAATTCCTTTAGATACTAATGACGATTTCAACTTGTATCACAGTATACCTCTACCTACTCTTCACGGAGGAGACGGTTCTAACACTTATAGTCTTATATCTCCCTCAAATCCTTTTATTACTATGTCTAAGGATAAGTTATTTTTCTGTAATTTAAGTGATTTAAGTAAATGTAAGGTTGTGAGCTTTGAGTTCTATCTCTGTGAAATATCTACGGTGTAGTCGACGAATAGTCACCCTACATGTGAAAGTGAACTGTTAACACTCAGTGCCATTCCTGTGCAGTGTAACACGAAGACAATATCTGGTGAACTCGACATCTGGAAACTAATCACTAATAATCGATGGATTTTGTGCATTCACGTCCAAACAAAATCTCTATAGAGTGTGGTGTCACCGAACTAAAAGAGATAATAGTGGTCGGCACCGGAATCCTTCAAACCCCCAATCAGTGCACTGTGTATACAAAAAGCGCAAGACTTACTTCCCCTATTAACTCTATTAATATAAGTGTCCCTAGTCCTAATTTAGATTTTAACATTATTAATGACTCATGTTGTGTATTGTAGTATGGTGGTAGTTTACTAAATAATGTTATTCCTGTTAAGTTAAATAACATAGATTTGGATGATCTAACTGTAAAAACTTATTATGATAACTTGTTTCTCGACCTTAGGAATATTATAAATAAAAAACCTTATAACGTGCGTCCCTGGTACCCCTCTTACCCCGTCGTGCGACACCCCGCGACCCTCCGTGGCTCGCCCGCGCGCATGCCCGGTAGTGGCGGGAGTACCCGAAAATCACCCGTGTCACTCTTGGTTGCGCCCGCGCAAGTTTAAGGTCCTTATGTATTCTCGTTTATGTAATGTTGAGTGTGTAATGTGTTTTGATAAAGTAATTAAAACCTACCTGTTACGAGTCACACGTTTCATTATACTAACGTTATACTGGCTCCCAACGTATGGGCCGATGTTCTAGACTGTTCGAATAGTGCACGGTATTTTTAGCGAACACAATGCCGCCGCGTAAAGTTCGTAATAACGACTCCAGTTCGGACGATGAACCTGTGTCGGTGACAGAGACACCTGTGGCTCCGGTGCTTATGTCTGAAACTCAGTTAGCGTCGCTCCTGGCCGCCTTCTCTTCGGCGCAGGCCGAGGCGAACCGGAAGCTCATCGAGTCACTACTGACATCGCACTCAGGGACGCCGCCCAATGTGAACTCCGGCGCTACACCGTCATCTTATTCTGGGAATCTCGTCAAATGCACCTCGCGCTTCGATGGTTCGTCGGAGTATCCGGAGGCGGTCGAAGCATTCATAGACGCCGTCGAGATATTTATGGATTGCGCTTCGGTCAGCGATGAGATGGCACTTCGTGGACTCCCCATCTTATTACATGGGCAAGCAGCAGTTTGGTGGCGTGGCATCCGTCGTAAAGTCACGTCATGGTCAGAGGCTGTCAAGCGCCTGGCGTTCGATGTATGGCATACCACGGCCACCGTACAAACTGTACAGAGATGTTTTCGCTGATGAGCAAGGGTTGGAACGCACCGACGTTTTTATCGTAAGAGTACGATCTCTGTTGGCGAAACTATCTTATCAGTTACCAGAGGAAGCGAGACTGGATATGATTTATGGTCTACTTCACAAGAGAATCAGGAAGCGGTTACCAAGAGACGCTGTGTGTGATATTGAATCACTGATAGAAAAATCTCGCAGCATAGAAGAATCGAATCAAAGAATCGTTGTCGGAGAACTCCACGTCACCGTCGTCGTCGTGTTTACCTTCGAAGGCTCAACTCGCGCTCAGCGAGAGCGCGCAGCAACACGTCGCTCCACGGGATCGAGTTCGACGCCGTCGCCGTCGCCGCCGGTTCGCGCTGCCCGCGCCCCGCGAGCGAAATCGCCGCGTAGTGATCAGTGTGTGAGCAAAAGTGATAACAGTGATAAGAAATTGTTCTGCGTGTATTGTAAGGGGCGAGGACACGTACGGGACTCATGTGATAACCTAAGTAAACGTTCTCTTTCTACTTACTCTGGCACTGTTTGCTATAATTGTGGTGAAAAAGGCCACGTTAGAGTTAATTGTCCTAAAGGTAAACAAGGTAGTGCCGGAGATAGTAACACAAATGTTAAGATAGAAAATGTGTTTTCTTCAGTGTATATAGATAGTAAGATGTCATGTTCGGATTTTGTTAACGATAATAATAAGCAGGGTCGGCCTATCGTGCGCGTGTGTGTGGGGGGATATCAGGGTACCGCGTTGTTAGATACCGCCGCGCGTCGTAGTATTGCGAGTTATTCACTTTATTCCTTACTGAAACGTATTGGTTCAGACTTTCGCGCCGAAACGATGTCGTTGAAGCTTGCGGACGGTATTGTTAGGAATAGTGATGTGCTACTGACGATAGTTAATGTTCAACTTGCTTCATTATCGATACCTATGGAATTAATTACTTTACCTGAGGCCGTTACCAACGATACTCTGTTGGGCATTGATTTTATTACTAAAGCTAAGATGGTTATCGATTTTTCTAATTGGACTTGGCGTACCATGGATCAGCCTCGGACACTTTACACCTTGTCATGGGAATCGGAACGTGCACCCATTCAGTGTGCTTCAGTGAATGTACTGAGGACGGATGAGGGCGCTATGTTATCGGGGTCGGAAAGTTCGACGTTGGAGAATCTTTTAGGTGAGTACTCCGATACTTTTGATATAGTAGGAGAACCTACACCATTTGCGGAAAACCACATGGATACCGGCGACCATCCGCCTATTGCTTTACTCCCGTATCGCTTTACACCAGCCAAGAAGGAGATCATGCGCGCCGAGTTAGACAAGATGTTAGCTGAGGACGTGATCGAGGAGTGTGAATCCGCCTGGGCAGCGCCGTGCGTCTTAGTACCGAAACGTAATTGTGCCTATAGGTTTTGTGTCGACTACCGAAAGTTGAACGCTGTTACTAAGACGGATGCGTACCCCATGCCACGTATTGACGAGCTCTTACAGTCGACCAAGAAGGGTTGTGTAATGAATTCTCTAGATCTTCGCAGTGGTTGTTGGCAGGTAAGCACCGCCGATCTCGATAAAACTGCGTTCGTCACGACCTTTGGTAGAATTCGCCATCGACATTTCAGAGGCTCATAGACCGTTTCAGATCAGGGTCTACACTTAGTGGTAGGACTTTTTTTTTGGTTATTTGGATGACCTTTTGGTTATTTGGATGACCTTTTGGTTATTTCGGAGGACCTGGAGTCCCATATAGCAGATTTGCGTGCGGTATTCGAGCGTCACAAGCTTCGAGCAAACCGAGAGAAGTGTGTGTTTGCCAGAGACCGGCTCAAGTACCTTGGCCACGTGATCTCTCATGATGGTATATCTCCAGACGAAGAGAAGGTAAGTGCTATTTTAGAGATGAAGGAACAGACAACTTCGCACTATCCTCCAAACTTTCTCTTGGTTCCGCAAGTTTATCCCAGAGTTTGCCAAGGTGGCTGAACCTCTTACGCGTCTAATCAAAAAGTCACAGACCTGGAATTGGGGTAAGGATCAAACTAGCGCTTTTATACAGCTCAAGACTCTTTTAGCTTCACCCCCCATTCTGACCCAGCCGGACTACTCAAGACCTTTCATCCTTAGAAGGGACTCCAGCGATTTCGCTTTAGGTGCAGCCTGGAGTAAGGCTCACCACAGTCACCACAAGATGAGCATCCCATCGAGTACGCTAGTCGTCTCCTTACGCAGGCAGAACGGAACTACTCCACCACTGAGAGGGAGGCTACATCGACGGTCATCAGGTATGTGTCAGGAGCGATCATCAACCCCTGAAGTGGCTGTTCACGCTCAAATCGCCTACCGGTAGGCTTGTTCGTTGGGCATTGAAGTTACAGTCTTTTGATTTGCGAATCGAGTACACTCCTGGGAAGGCTAATGTGGTAGCCGACACACTCAGCCGCCCAGTTATAGACAGTACATCGGGATGTGGTGTCTGTCCGGTCACCGTGGACATTCCACGATGGGACGCCACATCTACCCGCGAAGCTCAATTGTCCGATCCAGAAGTAGCTAAGATTCTCACTGACTTAGAAAGTACTGACGAATTGTCCGTACACCGTTGGTCGGATAGAGGGTACCTTATCAATCAGGGAGTATTGTACAGGTATGTAGAGGATTCGGATGCTGAAGAGCCTCAGCTCGTCGTTTCGGAGAGCCTGAGAAGCAAAGTCATGTATGAGTGTCACGACTCGCCGACCGCCGCTCATGGGGGTATCCAGAAAACTCTTCATCGCATATCCCAGCAGTTCTACTTCCCAGGCATGAGGAAGTATAATACCAACTACCTGAGGACGTGTACGGAGTGTCAGCGGTACAAGGCCTCAAACCTGAAACCACTTGGTTTACTCCAGACTCCTGTACCCGCACAGAGATTTGAGATCATCGCTGTTGACCTCTTCGGACCGTTACCTAAAGGGCCTCAAGGCGAAAGGTGGGTTTTAATAGTAGAGGACACCGCTAGTAAGTGGGTTGAACTTTTTGCCCTTACCGAAGCTTCAGCCGAGATCTGTGCGAAAACCTTGGTGGGTGAGATTTTTATGAGGTACGGACTCCCTAGGCATATGATCTCGGACAACGGAGTTCAATTCGTAGCTGATGTAATGCAGAAGGCGTTGTTTGTCTTAGAGGTGAAACAGAACCTGATACCACTATATCATCCCGAAGCCAACCCGGTAGAGAGAAGAAATCGGGACTTAAAGGCTCACCTAGCTATTCTTGTAGAGGGCAATCACAAGCAATGGCCTGAGGTTTTACCGTTCGTCCGTTTTCCTCTAAATAGTTCCTTTACCGTTTCCACCGGTTCCACTCCAGCTTACTTGACATTCGGTCGCGAGCTTCGCTCTCCCCTCTCTGTCCAGGCTGATTTACGAGTCATTGAATCTGAGAATTTGGTCCCTCAGATCACACCGTACCTTCTAAAGCTGGTTGACTCTCTCTCTCAAGCTAAGGAGAATATCGAGCATCAGCAGGATCTTCGCAAGCATCAAGCGGATTCAGGCCGTCGGGCTTCGGATCCCTTTCAAAGAAGGCGATCTTGTGCTTATGAAGACACATGTCTTAAGTAATGCTTCCAAAGGTGTTACTTCCAAGTTTATTCCGAAACAGGATGGTCCTTATGTAGTCTCCAAGAAGGCGAGTCCCACTACATATGCTCTTACATCACAGAAGACTCATGAAGTTGTTGGTAATTATCACATGTCGGATCTGCGTAGATACCATGACAGAGTTGGTGAGTGTCCGGAGCCTGTTGTTCCGAAGCGCCGCAGAGGTCGCCCGCGGAAAGTCCAACCGTAGGTTCGCTATTTATTGCTAGGAGTTTGACCAATGAGATTTCGCCTCTTGGTCAAAAGGGGGAGAGTATAACGTGCGACCCTCCGTGGCTCGCCCGCACGGTAGTGGCGGGAGTACCCGAAAATCCTTTGCGCGCGACACCCGTGTCACTCTTGGTTGCGCCCGCGCTCCTAAGTTTAAGGTCCTTATGTATTCTCGTTTATGTAATGTTTAGTGTGTAATGTGTTTTGATAAAGTAATTAAAACCTACCTGTTACGAGTCACGCGTTTCATTATACTAACGTTATAACCTGTATTTTCGAGTTACGAGACTCGTCACACTGTTTTCACATCAATTATTTCTTGTATTGTATTTTCTTATGTATTGTTTAAACTAAGTAAAATTGTTTATAAATATAAGAATAGATTTAACAATTCAAATTCAAATCCGACCTCTACCGATAACGATGATAACTTTCAAAGTAGGGAGTCACCCCTACCATTGCCGCGACTGAGGGAAGTCGCCTAACTATTCCTGAACTTCGATTTCCCCTCGAACTTCAGTTTGTCGCGGGGAGTTGTTACACCCTGTCGCTGTAGGCTTGTGTTGCACTATATTTTTAGGCTCTGAGCAGGTATCAGCGAGCCAGATCACAGAAGGTGTACTTTGGACACTTCTTCCTAGCAAGAAGTGTTTCCCTGCTAAGTTACCCTAACGGGACTGAGCTCCGGGACCTGCAGAGACATTAACTGTGATATGAAGTGTATTTTTTTAAACTATTTTATAATTATTATATTGAATTTATACACTTTATACACCTAATTAAATTAAAGGCTGTTGATGATGATACACCTAATTTTTTACAAGCCTCTTAATATTTATTAACGCATATCATTTAAACTGCCCCTCCAGTCTACCAATATGTCCGGCTTCCATACCACAGCAAAAAGACAAACTTCTTCAACCTTCCCCTCCCAGGCTACTCCCCCTGACGCGATGCCGGAAACGAGTCCCACAGAGCGTACCGCGACTCAGACAACGTCACGTCAAATCGGGGAATTGGAGGCTAGCAAAGTTCCCTCCCCCAGATCGGTACCTGCCGCCCCCAAGAAGCCCAAAAAAGTAAAAAACACCACCGCTACGAGTATAACAATCGCTCTGTTACACCCTGTCGATGTAGGCATTAGGGTTGACTAACAGACCCTGGTCTCGCTGAGCCAGTATTGATAAAATCGATATAAGCCCTGAGCGCATCGAAGTGCCAGTCATTATTCTAGTTCCTAAATATTAATTTCTATTTCCTTTACTTAATTCGAATAAATAACCTTCAGTGTTTAAAATAACTTTTTTTTTTAAAAGCTAACTATAAGGTCCCGCATAACAGCTCGAATGGACTCGATGGAGGTGTCGGACAGTCCGACATCCACCGCGACCAAAACCGCAGGTAGAATTCAAGAGGCACGCAACTGGGTGACGAAGGCAAAAATCGCCATTAAAAACTCCCGCAATTTAAGGACTGACATCAAAGGGGCCGTCACCCAGGCCATTGACAGCCTCTACCAGTTGGTTAAGGAAGCTGAACTAGGGAGGCGACCAAATATAGACAATGACATGCAAATAACAGAGTCTCAGAATACACAACAAAAAACCATAAAAAGTGAGAAGGATGGGGTTTCCCAGCTGTTCTCCTCACTGGCTGATCATAGTAGGCTAATGAGAGAAAGTAGCGAGAAACTGGATAAGTTGAACGAGGCGCTAGAAGAAAAGTCGGAGGCGATCACTTACGCCACGGTAGCAGCACGGGCAAAGCCATCATCGGTACAGCCTGTGCTGCACTTGGTAGTGGTTGCCTCCAAAGATACCAAAGATACCGAGGAAGACGTAATAGACAAAATAAGGACTGTAATGAAAGCCACAAAGACGGTATCTGCATAGAGAGAGTAAGAAAGGCAAAAGACAGAAAAGTCATCGTCAGCTGCAAGAACGAAGAGGAGAGGAGTAGGGTCCGAAACAAATTGAGAACAGCAGGCGAACAGCTAGACGTCCAAGACGTAAAAAACCAGGACCCACTCATTGTCCTCAGGGATGTCTTAAAGTACAATAAGGACGAAGATATTGTGAAAGCTCTGAGGACACAAAATTACGGACTCTTCTTGGGGCTTGCAGCTGAGGATGGCAAATTTGAAGTAAAATATAGAAAAGCGGCAAGAAATCCTCTAATGTGCCACATAGTCGCAAGAGTGCCTCCTAAACTCTGGTGCCGCATGACAGAGGCGTCTGCTGTGTACATAGATATACAGCGGGATAGGGTAGAGGACCAGTCTCCTCTGGTCCAATGCTCTTGTCGCCTGGGTTATGGCCACAGCCAGGGCCATCAGCGAGCCAGGCCATCAGCGCAGGAAGTGCCCGGGTGTGCTCGCCAATGCACCTCCCACTTGCTGTAACTGCACTAGAGCCGGACTAGATGCGAACGGGCACAATGCGTTCAACATGGACTGCCAAGTCCGGCGCAAGTGGGATGCGTTGGCTAGAGCAAAAGTAGCGTATTGCTGAGGGCCCCACCTCAGAAACCAGGAGCTCCCAGTCCATCGTGACCAAGGCGTATCCGATTCTGCAGGCCAACTTAAAAAGGAAGGAACTGGCGACCGCCGAATTGTTCGGAGTTGCTCTCGTCCTGCCTTTGGTGCGACCGTAGGTGCAGACACCGATACCGCCGCCACCGCACACGATACGCGACTACCCGCAACGGGAACCGAGGTTGGCGCTGGAGTGACCTGTCGCTTATCTGCAGCGAGCGACGGTCGAACAACGGGGGCCGGAGGCAGCCTCGCCTCCAAGCCCGCGAGTCCAGCATACGCCCCACTGCGTCAAGAATTTGGCGCAGATTTGCACCAGGGACGTCACTGGAACCGGGACTGGGAGTGGGGACAGGCCGCCGCGGAGCTGAGTCCCGTTGCTCAGGGCCATCCGCCTGCGCCCGGAACTGGGCGAATTGAGCACTCAACCCAGCCACCTGCTCCGTTAGGCGGTCGTTGGCGGACTGAAGGCAGGCCACATCCCCCATGATGGTCTCAACGACCCCGACGATAGCGGAAGAGGAGTACTTAAGAGCCCCCACAAAGGAACTCTTAAGGTTTCTGGATTTGGTGGCCTCTTTCTGTATAATAGCCACTGCCACGTTTGCTCTCTCCTGCAAAGACACTGGTGTTAGGGAGACGGAACTACTTTCTGCCGGCTCCCGGATCTTCTGCAGGAGATCCGCAATCTCCTCTTCCGCTGCGCTTTCGCCCTCCGCTCGGACCCGGCTTCCGCCTTAGAGAATACAGAGTCTGACGTGGAGGGGATCCAGAAGTGGTTAAATTTTGAGATGGATGCTCCCATTAAGACCATAGCGAGCATTCACTTGGAACTACTGAGAGTGACGGCCGGGCGCCATCCGGCTTACGGACTGGAGGGGAATGCTAGGGGGCCCTCGCAGGTCCCGCAGACTCTGAACCCCGTTCGGACGCCCGGCCCAGACCCGGATTTGCTCTCTCTGGGTCAAAAATACAGGGACTTGCAGACCAGTTTAGGGCCCTGCAAGTCCCTTAGACTTATCAATTTGAAGCGGTAGCATATATCATGAGTAAGGTTGTCAGAGACTTACCTAACACATCGTTCCAGCTGGGATCATGGAATTATCTTGAGCAGTTACAACTGGCAGATCCTGACTTTAATATATCAAGACGAATCGACATATTATATTTTTCGGGATAGATGTTTATTCGAGAATTATTAAAAATGGTCTAATAAAGGGACCGGAAGGAGCACCCATAGCGCAGAATACGAGCCTAGGGTGGATTGTATCAGGTAACATACCAACTTTACATTGCCACGCTGTCGTACGCGAAGCTGTAGACTTTTCAAAGTTCTGGGAAGTCGAAGACATCTACAATAAAATGTCAACAATATCAGATGAAGACAGTTATTGCGAGAACTTTTATCAAGAAACAACAAGACGATTGAAAAATGGAGCATATGAAGTGGCCTATTCAATGAAACCAGGGTATCAAAATCAATTGGGTACGTCAAAGGAAAAAGCTGTCGCACAGTTTAAACAATTAGAGAGGAAGTTTTCAAAAAATAAAATATTTTCAGACAGTTCAAGCAATTTATGCAGGAATATCTGGATTTAGGCCACATGCGTCTTGTTAAATCCAGCTTAAATCAGTCATATTATCTGCCACACCACGGTGTTTTAAAATTGGACTCGTAGACTCGTAGTGGAATCGTAGTTTACAATGGTTCCTCAAAAACATCGACAGGAAACAGTCTGAATGACCTTATGTACAGCGGTCCCAATCTTCAGAAAGATTTGCAAGCTCTCATCCTGGTATGGAGATCATATAGATATGTCATAACAGCCGACATTGAGAAGATGTTTCGATAGACATTCGTCAGAAGGACTGATCAACCTCTACCAACGATTGTCTATAGGAACTCTTCAGATAGAATCTTGCAGGAATATCAACTAACGACTGTAACCTACGGTTTAAAAGCATCAATTTTTTTAGCGATTGTTGGTATAAGTCAATATAATACTTTGGCAACACTGGTTCTTTTCTTTATAGTAAAAGGTCTGTAGTCTGTGTTGTTCTCTATGATCTCACTGCGCTCTGTACTGAGTGTGTAACGTTAAGTGTATTATAATAAAACTGCAAGTCTTTTCACAAAACTCGTTTTGCTTTAATAATCCTACAGGTTATGGGCCCAGCGCCACAACCGTGGAATAAGTAAAACGAAAAAAAAGAAGAAAATTTTTCTATCCGCGGCATCAACTCGGATACGCCGGTTTTGAGGTTAGACCGAAAATACTTGTATTACAAGGACGGGACAAGCAGGAAGGAAAATAAGTACACAATGGAAGAAAATAAGACCTTTGGTACACACACCACACTAGAAGGTGCATCGAATTGGAATGTTTGGAAATTCCAATCGATGATTATGCTGCGAAGTCAGAATTTGCTCGACGTGGTTCAAGGTATCAAGGTAAAGCCGGAAGAAGCGACTGAAAAGGCACGATGGGAAAGGCTGAACGCAAAAGCTCAAACATGGTGGGTGACAAGAATGTCAAAAAGTGCAATGATGCATATTTTAACATGTACTTCATCAGCGGAAATGTGGAGAAAACTATCGAGTGTCTACGAACAAACATCGGAAACAAGCATACACATTGTTCAACAACGATTCTTTCAGTATAAATATGAAGATACTTATACTTATACTTATACGAAGATACTTTCTCCCATACTTACCCATATTATAAACTTATGTATTGAACAGGGAGTATATCCCAGTGATCTAAAAACATCCATTCTTAAACCACTTTTCAAGAAGGGGAGTAGAAGTGACATGAACTGTTATAGACCTGTTGCTCTCATTCCTGTTTTCTCCAAAGTCATCGAAAAATTCATACACAAATGTTTGTACAACTATTTTGAGAAAAAGAATTTACTAGCAATTGAACAGAAAGGTTTTAGAAAGGATAAGAGTATAGATATCGCTATTTATGAAATGATCAGTAAGGTGTTGTTTTTCATGGACAGAAAAATACCAGTCTCTGCTGTGTACATGGACATGAGCAAAGCTTTTGACCACGTAGACCATAGAATTCTTCTTGACAAGCTGCATGCATATGGCATAAGAGATAAAGCACTTAGTCTAATACGTTCCTACTTAGAAAATAGAACACAAATAACGGAAGTAGTCAGAATATGTCCAAAGTCAAAAACTGAAGTCAAATACCAGTCAGATCCAAGATATGTCAGGTACGGTGTACCACAAGGGAGTGTATTGGGGCCCTTGCTTTTCCTTATTTACATAAATGACTTGCCGAAAGTAGTTAGCACACCTATGATTTTATTTGCTGACGATTGCACGATGATATTTTCTAGATTAGGGACAACTGACTTGAGTATATATGAAGATGACATTAATAATTCAATTAAAACAGTTATTGAATGGCTTGCAAATAATAATTTAAAAATAAATCTAGACAAAACAAAAATAATGCATTACAAACAACGGACACAGACTTTTGACATAAACATAAATTATGCTGGGCTTAGCATAGCAGAGGTAACTAATCAAAAATTTTTAGGATTATGGATTGATAAAGATTTGTCATGGAAAACACAAATAGAAGAAATATGTAAAAAATTAAATTCCTTCTCGTACGCATTATATATGCTCTCTAAAGCAGCGAGTTTACAGGTCGTACTAATTGCTTATAATGCTTGCGTCACGGCTACACTACGGTACGGAATCATTTTTTGGGGAAACTCAGTTAAGAGAGACGATGCGTTTCGAGCACAAAAACAATGCGTTAGAGCCGTATGTGGTTTAAGGTTGCCGGACAGTTGCAGACCTCGCTTCAAGGAACTGAAGATTTTGACTTTTCCGTCACTGTACATTTTTGAGTTAGCAGTTTTTGTTAAATTGCATCCAGAATATTTTCAATCCCTAAAAAGCCAAAGACAACGTGATAGAATCCACGCAACGCCCCACACAAGTGCGCTTTTTAATAAAAATATCCTCGGTATGGCTCCTAGAATATTTAACAAGCTCCCAAAAAATATTCGTCAAATATGTGACCTATGTAAATTTAAACGTGATCTAAAAGCGTTTCTGATTGAAAAAACGTACTACAGCGTAAATGACTTCCTCTTAGACATTATTTAATGACATTTGCTATGGTATTTGTTACTGATTCACTGAAAATGGATATATATATGTACATTTCTTTAGATAATACTGGATTATTGATTTGACATAATTTAAAAATTCTGCGATTTTGCTCAGGTACTGATATAATTTAGGATTAAGAGTTTTTATTTTTTTATTTATTAATATATGACAATTCAATACATATTTGTTGTGTTTAGAGTAATTAATTTGTATGAAATATTTGCACACCTGAAAGGGTAGTATACAGAGGCCAAAACTAGTATATAAGATCTTTGTATAACCTGTAATATGCAAATAAACAATTTGATTTGATTTGATTTGATTTGATTTGAAGATGGAACACCCATGTCCACATTTCTATCCAAAATCGAAGAATTGAAGAATCAGTTAAAGCAGATGTAAGAAAGCATTTCCGAGAAATTCGTCATAACAAAAGTGTTGATGTCGCTTCCAGCCGATTATAAGCATTTTGTCTCTGCCTGGGAATGTGCACCGGAGGAGAAACAAACCTATGGCAATGTCGTTGCTCGGTTTCTAATAGAAGAAGAACGCTTAAAGGATAAAACAGGACGTGACTCAGCAATCAGCGGCGGCTTTTGTTGCAAAGAAATTAGGAAAGAAAAACGTAAAATGTTAGAAGTGCAGTAAACTTGGACATTTCCAGAGTGAGTGTAGAAGTAACCGCATAAACAATAACAACTCGAATAGTGATGAGAGGCCGGTGAAAAAGTGTCCTTACTGCAAAAAGGTGGGACATATAAAAAGTGAGTGCTGGTTCAAGAAAAACAAAGAAAAGGACAGTAACGCAAGTAATGCATGCGTGATTTCGAATGGACATTTTCAAATATCGCAGTGGTTAATGGACTGGTGCGAGTCAACATATGTGCCACAATCGTAACCTTTTCACGACATACTTCGAATTACTATCAAACATATCAAAGATTTTTGACCCCTTGGGCTGGTTATCACCGTTATCAATCAGAGCAAAGCTTATTTTTCAAAGTACTTGGTTATCAGAGACCACGTGGGATGATAAAGTACCAATAGAAGCTCAATCCAAATGGAATCAATTATCAAATGATTTTAGGGACCTCGAGAAGATCAAAATATCCCGATACTTAGGTCAAACAAGCGAAAGAAATACCTTACATGCATTCTGTGATGCCTCCGAGACGTCATACGCCTGCGCTATTTATTTAATAACAAAAGATCATAAGGGCGAGTACACATCCACATTAGTCACAGCGAAAACAAAACTAGCACCCTTTACAAAAAAATTATCATTGCCTCGCTTGGAGTTATGCGGCGCCTTACTTCTATCACAGCTTTTAAAGAAGGTTCTGGATGCATTCTCGAAATTAAATTTTGATATTTATGCGTGGACTGACTCTATGATAGTACTCGGCTGGCTCTATGGAGACTGTGAAGGTTGGAAACCGTTCGTCGCAAATAGAGTTCAACAGATACTAAACATCATCCCAGTTTCGCGGTGGCACCGTGTAAAATCAGGAGAAAATACAGCAGATTGCGTCACCCGCAGACTATCAAAACAAAAATTATCAGCTTATACACTTTGGTGGCAAGGCCCCCGGTGGCTTCTATCATTTGACCCTAAAAACGATGAAAATCATACTTATCAAACTCCAGATACTGAAGTAAAGAAATCAGCGTGTACACTCCACTTAAAAGACAATAGAATAACACTCGTAAGCGAATTATTAAATCACTATAACTCATTGTCCCGCGCTACTTGGCTGGGTGTTTCGTTTCGTAATATGCGCACGCGACAAACTGTACACAAACACAAATAAAATAAATTATTTATCAGTTAAGGAAATAGAACGAGCCAGCTATTTTATAATTAAACAAACTCAGGAAACAGATTTTTTGGCAGAACTAGTAGCATTAAAAAGGATGGTCAAGTTAGCTCTAAAAGCAAAATTATCGGTGTGAACCCCTTCATAGATAATCAAGGTAATTTAAGGGTACGTGGAAGGTTATCGTATTCCAATCTAAGTGATGGTGCCAAATTTCCAATAATTTTATCATCTCATAGTCGACTTACACAACTTGTCATACAACAAGCTCATATTATAACGCTACACGGCGGTCCCCGACTTACACTATCATATATTAGAAACCGATTTTGGATTATGAGAGGGATTAGTACGGTGAAATGTCAACTGAGACAATGCGTTAAATGTCGACGTTTTTCAGTAATCAAAGTCGTAACCACATCATGGGGGACCTACCAGCACCCAGAGTCACACCAACACGCCCGTTCACTCACACAGGAGTAGATTTTTCGGGCTTTATGGAGCTGAAGATCAACAAAGGACGAGGAGTTTTTCGGGTTACCTGATTGCAGACCCCCAGAAGCTCAGCTATGGAAACTTTACCGAATAAAAATACTTCAACCAACCAGCCAAGAGGCAGAGGACGACAGTCCCGAGGACGACAACAGTATCAGAGAGGTCGTGTCGAAAACATGCGTCGCACGAAAGGTAGCGAGACGATGTCAGCGTTGCATGAAGATCTCCGTAAACAATTGTTCGTCGGTTCCCATGAGGAGGATGCTTTGGCTCGCCTGAGTGAACAACAGACCCTCAAGTCCATCACTCTATCTATAACAACCAGAGGAATAGGGTTAGGATTATCTCACCTTACTTTTATATCTATATCATATCACGAAACTATCCAGATCCCTAACATTTACGTAATGTATCGAGTTTTCCTCGGTTTGATGGAGGCAAAAATAGAAGCCATAAAAGCAGACTTGCCCGTTGTAAAACGTCTTACAGATCACGTCAAGCAGTTTGGTGTGAATAGCGATATGCTACGTGTGGCTCAGTCAATAACAATAGTACCAGAGCCTATTCGTAAAATAATCAATGCGGTTGGACACCTGAAGTATGAAGATAAGATCTACGTTCCTGCCATTGCAGCTGATCCAGTAGATCGACACGGTCAGATAGTACCTAGACCAGAAAGTGTCGTTTTGAGCACTCTTCGTCGCACTGTTGAGTATCTATCAGACCCTCAGAGCCACTAGAATAATAGGCGACGATTCCACGAGAATTGCTCAATACCAGGCCAGAAAACGATGTTTTGTTGAATCCCGATGAGATAATGCCCCGCAATTACGATTTGTACAACGATTTTAGATGCGAGTCTATGATAATAGCTCCTTACCTCGCCTCTCTTCAGAAGTATGTACCGAATTAGTGGGCGGTACACTCGATTTCAAATCAACTGGCCACAACTCTATGCTTATAAGCAATGAGATGCAGAATCTTAAATCCGTTGATCGGATGGCTGGTGAAGATCTGCGAGAATACTACAAACGCTGTGTTCCAGAAGGTAACGTGCGTAATTACAGTGCCATGGCGCGTCTTGCTCCAGCAGAACGAGTAGAAGGACAAGTCAATTTATTGGGTGAATACCCATCACCTGTCAACTTACGTTATCCGGTTTATCACATGCGTGATGAGTTAGCGGCCGAGTACGATGTCACTAGTGACTATGCTGGCATTTGCCAGATCATGTACGCTATGTAGTGAGTAAGGACCTGCAAAAGATATATCGCAATTTTCGTATTTCTGGCAACAAAGGCAACGCACTTAGAACTTGTCTCTGATATAAGCACTCAAACATTTTTAGCGGCGTTCAAACGATTCTGTGCTTGGCGCGGCGTCCCACGTCATATGTCGCCGATCGCCGCTTGAGGAAGGAATATCAAGAAATTACTAGAAATATCAACACTGAGTTCCTCAATAACATAAACGAACTTCAACGCACCGCTGTGGCCCTCGGCCGGAAGACTGTGGGAAGCAATTAAGCAATTAAGAGTATGAAATATCATCTTAAACGAGTCTTCGACTCGCAAAAATTAACTTACGAGGAATTAACTACATTACTTTATCAAGTTGAGGCGTGCCTAACCTCGAGACCTCTCTGCCAACTAACAGAGAGTCTTGACGATGACTTCCTTACGCCAGGACATTTTCTTATTGGAGGACCGTTATTATCAAGACCTCAGACTGAACCCACCTCCACTACCTTATCAAAGCGTTGGGAATTAATACAGAACATGAATAAACATATTTGGAAAAGTTGGTCTACGGAATACCTGCAACAACTTCAAAGATCAAAGCGGAGAACTCATAATAAAAACTTACGAATTGATTGCCTCCGGGCAAATGGGCACTTGCTCGTGTCCATGAGCTTCACCCCGGAAACGATGGGTTTGTGGCGACTCCCACATACAAAGAAACAGAAACATACTACAGCGCAAAGAATAATATGTACAAAGAATAATAAACTTATATATAGATATGCATATACAGTCTGTTTCATATATTAACGCAAAGCTTTTAACATCATACTCTGCACTTTATTTCTAGACGATTTGCAAAATATGAGCAAAAAATATTCAGTGGTTTAGAAACAGGACATTTTTTTTTGTTTTCGTAAATTCCAACATCATGTGTACATGCAGTCATAATACATTGACCTCAGGCGGCGATCAGTTGTAGGTATACGTGGCGCGGTAATCACACGTTGCCGCTTTTACTACACTCGAATCGAACGAAATATGTTGATTATTACGTCATCACGATGAAGGACACGCGTTTTTAATTAGTTCATCCAGTAAGGACAGTCAGTCGGCCCTTGGCCACCGGCGAGTGTTATGCTATTCCGTATCCTTGTAGATGCGCTCACGACAAATAACCGTAATAATAATATTGTTGTTGTTTATGAGATACATATTTGTTTAGAAAAGTTTTCTTGTGGTAATAATTGTTTAGTCTTATTGCTTTCGTCATAATACACGGCAATGGCTTGAACAATTAATGTTATCGTGTGCGCAAGACTTCGTAATGTAACGAGTCCTGCTAATTTTATTTTGAAAAGTGACAATATTAGGTTCTGTGTGTAGTGTAGTGTGAAACTGAGTGAATTATCAGTCTTTTAGTTTTATTGCGTTATCGGTATCAACATCCATAATGCCGTGAGTGACCTTCACAGCCGCGGAATATCCTGCCATGATGTTAATTTATGGAAAACTCTATCAAAACGCATCCTTTGCTTTACGGACAGGTATGGAGTCAATCGTGTATGTCCTACAGACTGCCGAATTTTTGTAAGGGCGGTACAAAGATTACGAGACAACCAAGGTACCTACTTTTTCAAGGAGTGACACGTACTGCTGGGTCCGAAGCTAGTCGAGCATTCCCAAAGTTACACGTGAATAAAATCATATTATTTATAAATTGATTTTGAAAAGCAAGTGAAGTGATTGGTAGGTAGGTAATAAGAATGTAAAGTTCGCCGGCTCGTTGCGGTGGCGGCGGCGTCGTTTTGATTTCGCCGACATTGCGACGCTGCCGTGTAGGTACAGTTCACCGACTCATGTTATCAATGGTGTTCTAATTCGGAAATTATTTTATTGTATTTAGTTTGTTCTAAATTTGCATTTCTGTATTTTCGTACAAATTTTTTATTTTAACCGACGTATATTGAACCGTGTTATATGTTATTTCATTTTTTGTGATATTTATTATCCCAGTCTGTATATTAACTTGTACATAAAAATATATATTACAAACAAATACATAATACATATTTCATTAATTACCCAGCATCAGCAAACGACTAATCGTAGAGTGCAGCGGTAAAAATCGATCGTGGTCGCATCGTATAAACGAACTCAATAAACAAAAGGGTTCGAGTATCGGCGCCGGTACAGTACGTATTAGCCGCTCACCCCTCAGTCCGCCTCATGAGTTCAACGCAGAAGCTCGCTAATACGTTGTGCATCCTTATCTTTGTCATCATTGATTTCGTTCTACTAATTAAGTGATTATATTCTTCTATACTTACGAACTTTATTGTATGTTGGTAGATGACAATATAAAAATTCCAAAATAAGAGTGTCCAGTGTGTTATTTAAGGTGCACTTTAAAATATATACATCCGACACCATAATTCCCGTTTACAAATCTTACATGTCTACCTTACGAACACTTCGATCAAAACTACTACCCAACGTTCTCTTAACAGCCTTAATACTTTTCACGTTATGTCCTTCACCATCTTATCAATCAAATCAAAACCAAAATACAGATTTCAATATATCATCGCTAACCACCAATCGTATATTATAACATACATACACAACATAACTTATCGTATATTATAACATGTCTACGAACTGGGAAGGAGTGAGTCATATAAAATAATACATTCAAAACATACGTAATACAAGTAAACAATCCATTCAACATTTGTTTTTTACAACGGCAATTTGTTTACGCAGCTAGAGCACGAAATTAGAGAGTTAGACCACTTCAACCGGATCCTTACCAACGACCCACAAACTAACAGACGGAAGAGAGGTCTGGTAAACGGTGTCGGGTACCTAGCGAACACGTTATTTGGAGTCTTAGACGAGAGGTTTGCTAACCAGTAGGTATAAGGACGACATAGAGAAAATTACGCGTAATCAAAATCACCTTCCAAACCTTATTAAAAAGCAGACGTCAGTAATGGAAACCGAGTACAACATTTTAAAACGCCATGAACACATAATGAAAAGACTGTTAAAATTAATAGTTACATCAAATGAAACTAGTAACGCTATCTATCGAGAGCAATGTGTGATCGCTTAATGTAGGTAATCTGTTGTAACTCTTAAAATAAAGTTTAGTTCTCTATAAGCCATCGTTAGCAACCTGTTGTTTTATTTTCTAATAGGTTATGGGCCCAGACCCATTTAGTTTAAAGTCAGTTAAAGTTGTGAAGTTATAGTTTCAGTTAGCGTAGGAATAGTGAGTGCACAGTTGAAGATTGCGTACATCATATCCACTGTAGTGAATTTTGATCTTGTGTTGCACGTGGTTGCACAGAACGCCGCGGGTGTGATCAACAGACATGGCTTTTAATACGAACTCGTTTATTGCAAATGTGCCGAAACTAAAAGGTCGAGGAAATGATAGTGAGTGGGCGTTTGCTGCCGAAAATCTGTTAGTTCTCGAAGGAAAGCTAAATTTTCTTAAGACTGAAGGAGTTGGCGCCAACATGGCGGAGGACGCCATGACGAAAGCCAAGTTGATCTTGACTGTAGATCCGTCATACAAGAAAATCAATTCGTCGTTAGTGTACATATTAAGAGCGCTAACACTACTAAGGAACTATGGCAGAAATAACAACAGATGTTTGACGACTCCGGTTTTTGAGAAGAATTATGTTATTGAGGACTTTAATATCAATAAGTCTCGAAACTTCCGATTCTATGACAAGTTACATTACTCAAATTATTGAAACGGGACAGAAATTATCAAGAACTGGTTTTTTGGTGAATGACGAGTGGATTGGCTGTCTAATGCTGGCGGGATTGCCTGAAAAATATTTTCCAATGCTTATGGCCATCGAACATTCAGAGATCGCCATTGCGGCGGATGTTGTTAAATCAAAATTATTAGACATACCTGGAAGTGAAGATTCGACGGAAACTGCATTATACACTAGAGGGCGCAAGCATGTCAATCAAAAATCGAAGCCATTCAATAAAACAGTAAACTCGTTCAAAGATGGGGAATCGTCAAATGTCAACAACAACAGAAACAAAGTTATCAAGTGTTATCGTTGTAAACAGATCGGGCATTACAAGAATAAGTGTACACAAGTTCAAAATACAAAAACGAACAGTTCAAATGCCTTTTCAGCCGTGTTTTTAAGCGGAAACTTCAGGAGGAATGATTGGTCGGGCACGCCGTCATCGCGGCGGTAAGACCCGTTATGGAGGATTGGCTCGAGAGGCGTCACGGGACCCTCTCATACCGATTGACGCAGGTGATCACTGGGAAGGGATGTTTCGGGGATCACCTGTGTCTGATCTGCAAGGAGCCAACGCCTGAGTACCACCACTGCGATGGCCAGACCGTGGACACGGCTCTCCACACGCTGGCAGAGTGCCCGGCGTGGGTTGAGCAGAGGCGGGACCTCGTGGCTGCCATCGGAGTGGGAGTTCTCTCGCTCGATAGCCTGATTGCGGCTATCGTGCGGAGCGAGAGAACGTGGAAACTCTGCCGTCTCCTTCTGCGAACAAGTTATGCTCGCGAAGGAGACGGCGGAGCGGGACCGGGAGAGGTTTAGGACTCTCCCGGCCCGCCAGGCCCGGGAACGGTCCAGGTTCCGCAGGCGACTCAGGCGCCGGAGGTCGCAGAACGACCTCCGTCCTCCATAAGCGCAGGCCTGGGGGTGACAGGTGAGGCCATCTGTCATCCTAGCAGAAGCAGGCCGGGGTGGCGGCGAGCGCGTTGCGAAGCGCGCTCGCTTTCGAGGAGCAGGGGGGGTCGTCTACTCGTCTGTAGATGACCCGAGGTATGTCGGGGCACCAGGGACTTCCTTTCTAGGGTATACCTGGTTCCCCGGCTATTAGTACCCGAGACGGCGTGCGGTTTTAGTCGGTTCGTGTCCGACATGCCACCGACAGGTGGTATCCGAGGGGATTTCCGCACGGAAAAAAAAAAAAAGGAGGAATGATTGGTATTTAGATCATAGTAAAGGACGTGTTATGTCGCACCTTTATTCATAAACTGAATTAACTTAGAATTTCAATATTGTGGGAAATCGCATTTAAAGTTTGACATTCATGTACGTGCGAGTTCGTCAAAAAGAGAACGACGATCTCTTATCTCTGCCATTTTCATGGTATCGAGTCGGCTGTTGGATTGTTCGTGTTCTACTGATGAAGTTGATTTGGTATTTGTTGAAAACTCGAAAAACGTAAATTTTGAATTAATTCAGTTTATTATTAAAGGTGCGATGTGTGCCTAGTATTGCTACGAACTTGACATCAGTGAGTAAATTGATACAAAATGAAAACAGAGTTGATTTTCGGAAAAATAGTTGCTATATCTATAACAGTAGAAATCAGCTGGTTGGAGAGGCCAGATTAGTTGATGGTGTTTACAAACTTAATGTGGAAGAGAGACATGGCTGTTTGTTTACGATATCTGATAGTATGAAGAGCAAGTTATGGCATCGAAGAATGGGCCATTTGAATAGCAGTGACCTTAATAAAATGAAAGAAGGTGCAGTTGTGGGTATTGACTTCAAGGATAAAGCAGTTATTGATAGAAGTACATGTGTTGTGTGCTGTCAAGGGAAACAGTCACGGTTGCTGTTAACGCCATCTATCGGCGTTAATTAAAAAACGACAACCATCGTGAAGAGCGCGCGCGCCACGCCACAAACTTCACTCACTCTCATCTTGTTACTCGCTTATTAATCATATTCATAAGAAATACAATGTTAAATTCATTTCGTTATTAAACGTATTGAAAATCAATAATAAACGTATGTCATTGAAGAGCAACACCATTACGAAAGGATCCTGGCCTCAACATAAATATGGTCTTCGTAGCCGGATAAACGCTTCCATACTTCACGGAAAGTACCTACCAGCAAGAGAAAAAACGGTCAGAGTCGTAATTCCTTTCGTAATCCTTCATTTTCCATTCGAATTTGTATTGTACAGTGTTACGTGTCCCTATACGTCATATAAATTTAGTTTTCCTTGTGAGTCAATCAAGATTTCAAGTTTTTCTGCGACGACGCGGTGTGGTGACATACGTACAGTCAGTTCCTCTGCGCATGAAACCGCGCAGGCGCGCGCAGGCTCTGACGGTTGCCATAGGTTGTTTGAAAAATTTGGAAAGAGATTTTGTCCACTAGCTATTACGTTATGTATGTGAGAAATATATTATTTTTACGGAGTTGTTGATTATTACTATTTATGCGGGGGATAGTCACATACCCCCCCACATTTGGTGACCCCGACGTGATAGCGGTGATCACGCTACACCCGCGATTCTGCGTTTTCGGTCGTCGTGTCAGCTGAGCCCCGACTTCAAGTAACGGAGAGCAAGCAATTGGCGAAGTTAGTAAGAGAATCGTGTTTGTTTACGCTATAACGGAAGGTTGGTGTATGTACCAAGCGGTGAGCGATTTTATATTGTTTTAAAATGTCTGAGTCAGACGATTACGCCGAGGCTGTGACTCCTCGTGTCCTCAGAGTCGGCGTTAGAATACCGCCATGTTGGCCAGAAGAACCAGGTCTGTGGTTCGCACAGGTAGAAAGTCAGTTTAAGCTGTCTGGAATAACAACTGACGATACAAGATTTTGTTATCTGGTTGCTCAGTTAAACCAAAGCTACGCTGCTGAATTGAAGGACATTATCACAAACCCACCAGACAAAAACAAACATGAGAAACTTAAATCTGAGCTCATTAAGCGTTTGTCAGCTTCTCAAGAAAAGCGAGTTAAACAGTTATTGGTGCATGAGGAGTTACTCGACAGGAAGCCCTCCCAGTTTCTGAGGCATTTATCGAGTTTGGCCGGTCCTTCCATCCACTCTAATTTTTTATTAACTCTGTGGTCTAGCAGGTTGCCGCAGAACATCCAGACGGTAATCGCATCTCAAATGGATCTCGATAAGGACAAACTAGGTGAACTAGCAGATAAAGTCTACGAGATCGCACCGCCAACACCACAAGTTGCAAGCACTTCTTCACAATCGTCGTGTAATAGTGACATGGCTCAACAGATCGCGGAATTGATCAAGCAAGTGGCTTTATTGACTAGTAGACTAGGACGTTCAGAAAAATCACGCTCTAGATCTCGTTCTAATATACAAAATCGCTCACGCAGCCGTCCCCGACCGAAGCAACCTCCTGCGAGTCACCCGCATTGCTTTTATCATTTTATCTACGGTGCAGATGCGAGGAAATGTAAGAGTCCTTGCACTTTCTCTTCGGAAAACTCTCTGGGCAGTCGGAAGTAGTGGCCTATGACTGCCCAAACCCAACCCCAACATCAACAGGCCGTCTTTTCGTAACCGATTGTCTAAGCAAAATGCAGTTTCTCATAGACACTGGTTCTGATCTTTGTGTTTTTCCAGGGTCTGCGATGGGGACGCCACTTAGAAAATCCACTTTCGAGCTGGTAGCTGCCAACAACACAGTCATAAATACATACGGTCCAGTAAAGCTACACCTAAACTTAGGACTCCGGCGTGACTTCACGTGGAACTTTACTATAGCTGATGTGTCCCGACCAATCATTGGAGTTGATTTCCTGACCTACTACGGCTTACTCGTAGATTGCAAACATCAGCGCTTGATTGATGGTGTTACTTCCCTCTCTGTTTATGCTTTTCAATCGGAAGCATCAGACGACATTGTCTCAGTCAAAGCAGTCACAGGTAAAACCGAATTTCATGGGATTCTACGCGAATTTCCTGAGATCACTAGGCCAGCAGGTATGCACTTTCCAGCAAAACATACCACTCTTCATTATATCAGAATCACGCCTGGACAAACAGTTTCCTGCAAGCCACGACGTCTTGATCCTGTTCGTACTCAAGCCGCTAGAAAGGAGTTTGAGGACATGTTGGCTTGTGGTACAGCCAGGCGCTCAGAAAGCCCGTGGTCTTCTGCCCTTCATTTAGTTAAGAAGAAGGATGACGGATGGAGGCCCTGCGGCGACTACAGGGCACTCAACGCAAGGAACATTCCCGATCGCTATCCCATCCGCCATATACATGACTTTTCTTACCAGCTTTCAGGATGCTCAATTTTTTCTACGGTTGACCTCGTGAAGGCTTACAATCAGATCGCTGTAAATCCGCGGGATATTCCCAAAACAGCTATCACAACTCCCTTTGGATTGTTTGAGTTTCCGTACATGACATTTGGTCTTAGGAATGCAGCTCAAACATTCCAACGGTTTATCGACGAAGTCTTGTAGGCTTGGAGTTCTGTTACGGATATATTGATGATATTCTCGTCTTTTCATCATCTATAGAAGATCACAAGAGACATCTACGGCAGCTGTTCCAACGTCTGAGGCAATACGGCATTTTATTAAACACTTCGAAGTGTAAGTTTGGTCAATAGGAGTAAACCTTTCTTGGTTATAAAGTTTCCGCAGCTGGCACCAAGCCTCTGGAGACCAAGATAGAAGCTATCCAGAATGTTCCAGTGCCTAAAACTATCAAAGAGCTTCAGCGTTTTCTCTTGATGATCAATTTTTACCGAAATTTCATTCCGAATGCTGCTAAAATCCAGGCACCTCTTACTAATGTTCTCGCTGGTCCGCTTAGCAAAGTTTCTTTTGAAGATAGTAAGAGCTCACTGTCACAAGCAACACTGTTGGCACATCCAGATCACATCGCAGAACTTGCTATAGTCACGGACGCCTCAGATTTGGCTATAGGAGCCGTGCTACAGCAACTTAAGAACGGAAACTGGCAACCCTTGGCTTTCTTCTCCCATAAGCTGAGTACTTCTCAAAAGAAATACAGCCCTTACGATCGAGAGTTACTTACAGTGTACGAGGCTATCAAGTATTTTCGCCATATGGTCGAAGCCAGAACTTTCACGGTATTTACGGACCACAAGCCGCTCACGTTTGCATTCTCGCTCAACAGAGATAAGTGTTTGCCTTGACAGTACCGGTATCTTGACTTTATTTCACAATTTACTACGGATTTAAGATTTATCCCTGGTCGTGACAACGTTGTCGCCGATGCCTTATCCCGGATCGAAGAGGTAACCAGCGCTATTGATTTTCAATCACTCGCACAATCTCAGGAGAGTGATCCAGAGTAGTCTTGTGTAGTTCGCGAACGACCTAGTTCGGAAGACCGCTCTTTCGTACGAACTACGCGAACTAGGTCGCAGAGAGACCGCTCCTTAGTTCACTAGTTCCGACGCGGCGCGCGGAGCGCGGATTTGTTGTGAGCGAGAGCGGGCACTGACTGACTCACCGTTTGCCGCGCATGCATTCCTCATCGTTCGTTCATTTTAGCTCTTTAGCTCAGTCAGTCAGCGGTGCGGGCGTGGCGAATGTTTTGTTATGGTAAATACAACAATAACTCATAACAGGTAACTACCTTGTATTTGTAATGTTAAATGGTTATTGTTACTATTAAAATACTTTATACATTACTTTATACATTACCGAATTTACTGTTGGTACTTTCTCCAAGGACACTTCCTTTGAGCGACTATACTGAACTGTAAACTACGAAAGCGTTGAGAAGTAAGCTCCGCATTTATTCAAATATCACAAGACCCATCTGAAAGAACACCGCTGTATGTGCAACGCGACAACGGTAAGTAATCAGCAAGGGCTAAGCTCTTCGGAGCATTTTTGTAGCATTTCTACTTTATTTTCTATCTTTAGCATGAATCCTTGTGGCCCATGTCACATAACGAGACCCCTCACAGTAAGCAGAAGGGAGTATTAACACGAGCAAGGGCAAAGCGAGAACAAGAGGGGGAGGTTTGGGAGCCGCGACCCAAGATGGGTATGCTGGAGCAAGAGGGGGAGGAGGTGGGGGGTAGGCAAGCCCCCGTGGAGCAACAAAGAGGACGTGAGGCTGACGACTAGTACCACTCGGTACGCAGCGGCAGCAGCGACTCGAGCCCCAACAGGCACGGAGCGCCTGAGTCGGTCGTCACAAACCGCAACAAGACTATCGCCGCCGAGAGGGCCAAACGGGGCGCTGAACTACTGGCCAAAAAGAGAGGTGTCATCCCGACCAAGCCGGAGGCCCGTAAAGAAATATTACGGAAGTATATGCCCGAGCTTTCGGTGAAAATCCCGAAAATGGCACAAGAGATAGCACAATCACACCTGCTATCGAGCACTTCCTCCGAAGGCTTGGCAGGCGAGACAACGCCACCACCCGGAGTTTCGGTGGAACTATGTCCCGTCACGGGTACAGTACCTCCCCCCAACCGTGACGAAATTGACTGGAATGGGGACGTGGACCGGGCTACATCAAGCCTTATAACGATACTGACTGCCAATGGGGAGAGTACCCTGGACACAAACACCCAGGAGTTGGGCTTGGGTACGCTAAGGGCGATTGCGGGTGGGAGCTACATGAACAGACTGGCTGTGGGTGAGGTGCCAGCAGCAATCGCTCTTCTCTACAAGGAGAGCCAGGCGTCGACACACTCACCCAAAGTGGTGACAAACACGCAGCGTGCTGTGTTGTTGGGGGGAGCGAAGGAAGGTGGAGCGAGTGACAGGGGAGAGGAAAAGGACAGGGAGCAAGGTAACGCTGATCGTAAGCGCAGGAACATGCGTTCATCAGCCGTTACACTCGCTCGAAAAATGCTCGGCGTGATACTTTATACATTGAAAAATTATGTAGGTACCTATTACTTTTAATATGATTAATGTGAAGTAGTGTACCTATTACTTTGTTTATAGGTTATGTCATATTTGTTTTAGGTTCTTTAATCTTTATTGCGATGTCATCAAAACGAAAACATAGTTCCTTGTGGACACATTTCATTGAAGACACAGATAAAAAAAAAGTAAAATGTAACTATTGTTCGACATAATAAGTATTGCAGGAGGCTCAAACGGAAACTTAACTAGGCATATGAAATCAAAGCACGCTTTGATTCCATTAGTAATTGAAAGACAAACACCGATTATATCTAATTCAAACTCACTTGAGTCGAATCAAACAACATCCGAGTCGGAGAATATTACCTCAGCATCGCCAAGGGTAGCAGATACCCAACAATCAATGAGCCAATGCATTCGCAGACCACCGCCTATTCGAAAGGTTGAACAAATAGACAGGCAAGTTGTAAAGATGGTAGCCAAAGGTCATCATGCTCTGCGAATAGTGGAAGAAAAAGAAATGCGAAAACTTATTGAATTGGTTTCTCATTGCCCAGGCTACCAACTACCGTCAAGAAAAACTTTATCACAAAATTTATTGTCGAGGGTACATGAAGAATTAACGGTTGAAGTAAAAAAGAAAGTGCAAGCTGTATCTGCATTATCCCTCAGTACCGATGGCTGGACATCTAGAAATAATGAGAGCTATATAGCTATCGTAGCTCATTTTATAGACGAAGATACTAAACTTCAGTCGGCATTACTTGGCTGTATAAATTATAATGAACGGCATACCAGTCAAAACTTATGTGATTTCATGAAAAGTGTTATGGCAGAGTGGCATATTTCACACAAAGTTGCTGCAATAATTAGCGACAATGCTGCAAACATCTTATCTGCTGTCAGACTTGGTGAGTGGCGGTAATCGCGTGCTTTGCTCACTCTCTAAATCGTGTTGTACAACAAGCCACTACTGAACTAACTGACGTTATAACGCAAGTTAAAAATATTGTTGAATACTTTCATCGTAGCACGCAAGGTCAAAAAAAATTAACAGCTACACAACAACAAATGAATTTGCCCGTGCTCAAGCTCAAACAGGACGTGAAGACCCGTTGGAACTCTACATTTGATATGCTTCAGCGAATTGTACAGGTAAAGGCTGCTGTTATTGCCACGGTTGCTCTTCAACGTTCTGACCTCTCGATCAAAGAACAGGACTGGGAGATAATTGAAGGAGTCTTGCCTTTACTAAAGCCATTCTATGAAATCACAGTAGAAATTAGCGCCGAAAAAAATGTGACTTTGTCAAAAGTTATTGTGTTTTGCAATTTGCTCAAAAGTTTTCTCCAAAGACATGCATCTAATAACGAAAAAGTTGTCGCAGTGCAGTCAGCGTTAAAGAAAGGCATGGAAGACCGTTTTAAAGACATAGAAAATAATATTTTATACGCTGAGTGTACCATTCTAGACCCCCGGTTCAGACAAAGAGTGTTTAAAAACCAAAGAGCTTGCGAAGTTGCGTTACAAGGTCTCAGGCATAAAATAGGCAGAGTGCAGTTAATACAACAGGATATTCCAGAACCTGTTCCTAATCCTAGCGAGATATCGGCGTCTAGCAGCAGCGGAAATTTAAATAAAGAAGAGAGTATATGGGACGAGTACGACAAAGAAATTAACAAAATTATTAGACCAGATAATCAATCTGCCGCTGGTATTCGCGAGCTCGATAAATACCTAAATAAAGAGTATTTAGATAGGAAAAAGGATCTGCTTCAGTGGTGGCATGATCGTCGTCAGTTATATCCTCATGTTTACGCATTTACGTTAAGGAGATTTTGCATAGTAGCTACATCAGTGCCATGCGAACGCGTTTTTTCGGCGACAGGACAAATTCTAAACGAAAGAAGAACATTATTATCCACAAGTAAAGTTTCAAGTGACTTGATAATTAGAAGACTGATTAATGTTTAATGATGACTGATTCACTAATAATACGTAAGTTAAAAAGTACCTGTACTTGTAGTTTATGATCTCACTCGAGTTTTTGATTATTTTCTCTGCCTAATTGATAGGTACTGAAATATTATATTTGTGTTATTTTTCTTAAAAATATAGTTAGATATTATTTTTTGTTCGTAAAATGTTAAATCTTAGAAAATAACAAAAACATGATAAATAGCTAATACTGAACCAAAGTTTAAGATTGTCTCTAAAAATAATATTTAAGTATATTTTTTGTACCATTGTTTGTGCCATGTTCAAAAACTTAATTAATATTAAAACGTTGATTATTTGCAAAATAATATATTTTTATTTATTTATTATCTATCATAAATAAACACATTCGTAATATTAATACAGCTAATATAATTTTCTTTTCTGCAATCAACTAATAAACGAATCCATTTGCAATATTCATCCACTATATTTTATTAATATACTGAAATAGTAAGTAATTTACTACTGCAAGCTGATTGATGAACATTATAATAATAAACAAAACAGCGCGACGAAGCGAACGCCGAACGACTGATCTATTTAACCGGAATTTGTGAAAGGAGCGGACGAACTAAAAGAACGACCTAGTTCGCCAAAGACCGGCGAACTAAATTCATTGCTCCCGGTCGCGAACTAAAATGCGTAAGACTAATCCAGAGCTGCAAGAATTGCTCAATCATGGGACAGGTTTGAGACTTCAAAAGGTTGCTGCTGAGAACATAAATATGTATTGTGACATCTCTCTGCCTACCTTACGACCATACGTTACACCCGAATTCCGCAAGCAAGTCTTTGATTCGCTGCATAACTTACACCACCCCGGAAGTTCCGCTTCTGTACGACTGGTCACACAAAGGGTTGTTTGGCCAGGCATTCGCAGAGATTGTAGAGAGTGGGCTAGGCAATGCTTGAAATGCCAGAAGAGCAAAGTTTCTCGTCATACCATCTCTCCTCTATCATCGTTCCTTCCACCTTCCTCGAGATTTACCCATATTCACCTCGACATCGTAGGGCCATTACCTTTGTCCTATGATTTCAGATACTGCCTCACTGTCATCGATAGATTTACTCGGTGGCCTGAAGCGTTTCCGCTAAAGGACATCACGGCCGAGACCTACGCCGCTGCCCTTGTGTCTGGCTGGATTGCCAGATTCGGTTGTCCTGAGCGAGTGACTACAGATCGTGGTCGCCAGTTTGAGTGCCACCTCTATAAGGCCCTGCTTTGATTGGTGCGCGCCATCTCACACACACACATCACACGACAGCCTACCATCCAGCAGCCAACGGCATCGTGGAGCGCCTTCATCGCCAACTCAAGGCAGCAATCATGTGCCACGCTACAGCTTACCAGTGGGCAGAAGCACTTCCACTAGTTCTTCTCGGCATGCGCAGCGCCTGGAAAGAAGACCTTCAAACTTCTCCTGCCGAACTTGTGTACGGTGAACCCCTTCGTCTGCCAGGGCAGTTTCTAAGCCCAAAGGACGATTACCTGACAGCTGACGTCACCCAGTACGCGACACGTCTTCGCGCGTACATGGCGAAGCTCTCTCCTCGTCCTACCAGTTGGCACACTACTACTTCATTTTTCTACGTTCCACGCGATCTTCTAACATCTACGTACGTCTTCGTTCGCCTAGATCGTGTGAGGCGCCCTAGAACAACCGTATGCTGGTCCCTATAAGGTTGTCACGCGACAACCGAAGTACTTCACCTTAAACATCAATGAAAAGAACGTGAATGTTTCTATCGACAGGCTCAAACCAGCATATGAGGCCAAGGTGCCGCTCTCCGCTGCCACCCAATCAACTAATGAAGCCCAATCTACTTATGAGGATATCAAGAAGACAACCAGTGGCACAAAGGTGCGTTTTCCCAACTTCTATCGCCCGTAGTCCCGGTCTCCCCGGGAGAGTACTGTGGTGACATACGTACAGTCAGTTCCTCTGCGCATGAAACCGCGCAGGCGCGCGCAGGCTCTGACGGTTGCCATAGGTTGTTTGAAAAATTGGAATAAGGATTTTGTCTACTAGCTATTACGTTATGTATGTGAGAAATATATTATTTTTACGGAGTTGTTGATTATTACTATTTATGCGGGGGATAGTCACATACCCCCACAGCGGTAACCGTAAGTACCTACCTTTTCCATTTTATACCGCCAAAATGAGTGTTGTAGAAAGAGATGATATTAAAATTAGCGAGCTTATTAAACTTCGGGGTACATTTAAGTCTAGATTGACTTTATTCGAAAAATACATAAATAAAATACCAGTCTAGCAAATTATCGCAACTGCAAGTAACGGAAATTAGTATGAGAATCCAAGCAACAATAGATTGTTTTAATAGTTATAGTAACATTCAAGGTCAAATAGAATCACTTGTATTAGACTCAGAATTAGATTTACAGAAAGAATACCGTGAGGCTATTGAAGAACGATATTATACAAATATGGCCGTCGCGAAGTGCTTGTTAAAAGAAAACGAAAATGCTAATTCTGAGTGCACGCTTTGAGAAGGTCAAAATCTCACGTCCGTTAAGTTACCAGTAATTAAGCTACCCTCCTTTGACGGCTCGTATGATAAGTGGTTGGAATTTAGGAATTCATACCTAACCATGATTCACAAACATACAGATTTGGATCCCGTCCAGAAGTTCCATTACCTAAAATCATCTCTCAGTGGTTGTGCATTACAAGTAATTAGTTCTCTAGAGTTCACGGCATCAAATTACACTCATGCGTGGGATTTACTCTAAAATAGATTCCATAATAATCGTTTGCTGGTGCACAATCATGTAAGGTCACTATTCTCTGTACCAAATATCTCTAAAGAATCACCTATACAATTAAGATTTTTAATTGATACGATTTTAAGAGACTTGCGTGCTCTGCAATCCCTCAATGAACCGACTGAGTCGTGGGACGCACTTGTCATATATTTAATTGTCACAAAATTAGATATCGTTACGGAGAGAGTGAACAAAATCCAAGGTTTTTGGAGCGGGAGTTTTAAATAATACACAGACTATTCTCCGCTGGATTCGGACTCCGAGCAAGAAGATTGTTTAGTTGAAGATGATGTCAGGAGTGATAACGAAGACGCGATGGTCGACTTCATTGAGGATACAAGCCCTACAAGCAGACAAGACGACCCCGAAAACCATGTTGCTTCTCTGGAATCGACTAATCTTGAGGTAACTTCATCTACTTCACATAGAATTATTACATTGCCTCAGCGGTCAATACGTGGCAAAAATAACCATGTATGGTCAACTACAAAGGGACGTACGACGGGAAGGACTTCTGCTATCAATATTATACGTACAAATAGAGGACCAACGCGAATGTGTCGCAATGTTTTTGACCCTTTGCTCTGTTTTCAACTTTTTATAACGGACGAGATAGTTGATGAAATAGTCAAGTGGACAAACGTGGAGATGATAATAAAACGACAAAATTTGAAAGAAATTTCGGCAAGCTACAGGGATACAAATGCAATGGAGGTCTGGTCGTTAATTGGAATACTCACTCTGACGGCTGTTATGAAAGATAACCACCTCTCAACTGATGAGTTGTTTGACGCTTCATTCTCTGGCACCCGGTATGTATCGGTAATGAGCCGAGAGAGATTCGAATTTCTTCTTAGATGTTTGAGAATGGACGATAAATCACTGCGGCCAACTCTTCGTAGCGATGATGCTTTTGTACCGGTGAGAAACATTTGGGAGATTTTTATCAATCAATGCAGATTGAACTACGTACCTGGCAGTAACTTGACTGTAGATGAGCAATTGTTAGGTTTCCGCGGCCGTTGTCCATTCCGCATGTACATACCCAATAAACCCGATAAATATGGGATAAAATTCCCCATGATGTGTGACGCTTCAACAAAGTACATGATAGATGCCATACCTTACCTTGGTAAAAGTACGAAAACAAATGGTCTACCATTAGGCGAGTTTTACGTCAAAGAGTTGACTAAAACAGTACACGGAACAAACAGAAATGTTACATGCGACAACTGGTTTACGTCGGTCCCATTAGCTAAAAACTTGCTCCAGACTCCATACAACCTAACAATAGTAGGAACCATCAGGTCAAATAAAAGAGAAATACCCGAAGAGATAAAAACACTCGTTCACGGCCGGTAGGATCTTCAATTTTTTGCTTCGATGGCCCTTTGACATTGGTTTCCTATAAACCAAAGCCGTCGAAAATCATATTTTTACTATCGTCGTGTGATGAAAATGCCGTAATAAATGAAAGTAATGGAAAACCAGACATGATATTATTTTATAATCAAACGAAAGGAGGTGTTGATTCCTTCGATCAGATGTGTTCCTCTATGTCCAGTAACAGGAAGACAAATAGGTGGCCAATGGCAGTATTTTACGGAATGTTAAATATGGCTTTTGTGAACTCCTATATCATATACTGTCATAATAAGATAAATAAACAAGAAAAACCAATGAGCCGCAAAGATTTTATGAAAAAATTAAGCACAGACTTGACGGCACCTTGGATGCAAAAACGACTGGAGGCGCCCACTTTGAAGAGGACTCTACGTGACAATATAACAAATGTTTTAAAAAATGTGGTACCAGCATCTCCAGTAACGGGGCTTGAATTCTCTTTGTGGCATAGTCCTTTTCAATCTTGTCATGGACTATGCCACAAAGAGAATTCAAGCCCCGTTACCCTGGGACCTCCTGTACGCTGATGACATCGTATTAATAAACAACTCTGTAACAGAACTACAAACTGCCCTAACATCATGGTTTAATGCGCTCGAGTCTGTAGGCCTCAAAGTCAGCATATCGAAAACGGAACACATGGAATGCCGATTCAGCAATGACGTCACATCAGCCACAATACACTTTCCCGACCACACTCCAGTGCCTAAAGTAACGCAATTCAAATATCTAGGATCTGTTATTATAAATAATGGAGATATTGAGGCGGATGTAACACATAGAGTAAATGTGGGATGGCAAAAGTGGCGAGCATTAACTGGAGTGCTATGTGACCCCCGCATGCCTGTTCAAACTAAAGGCAAGGTCTACAAGACTGCAGTGAGACCGGCATTGATGTATGGGGCGGAATGTTGGACAGCAAAGAAGACACACCTACAAAAACTTCATACTGCCGAGATGAAAATGTTGAGATGGGCTGGAGGGGTAACCAGACTAGATAAAATCAGAAACGAATACATCCGTGGTAGTTTCAAAGTTGCCCCCGTAACAGAAAAACTTACCGAAAACCGTCTCAGGTGGTACGGCCATGTAATGCGAAGAGACGAGGATCATGTCGTCAAGAAAGCACTGAGCTTACCAGAGAAGAAGAAAGGCCGAGGACGCCCCCCTACTACCTGGTGGACCAGCATGACAAAACTTATAATGGAGGAACAATTACCCGACCCGACAACCCAGGATCGAATGTCCTGGCGCCGCATAATTAGGAGAGCCGACCCTACATAAAGTGGGAAAGGGCAAAGAAGAAGAAGAAGGTACCAGCATCTCCAGAAAATAGTAATGATGAGCCAGAACCAAAGAAACGACGCTATTGCGGATTTTGTTCATATAAAACAAGGCGGATGACCAAAGCGCAGTGTTGCAAATGCCAAAAGGCCATATGCGGAGAACACAATATTGATATTTGTCAAGACTGTCTATAAAGGCTATTTTTTTTTATGAGACTAATATAGTATTATTACAAGTTAATTTAATTTTTGAAAAAAGTTTAAAACTAGTTGATTTTTGTAAAAATATCCTAATTATAAGAAAAGAAAAAGTTTTGAAGTATTTGTTGATTTATTTTTTATGATTCAGTAAAAGTACTATTATTGTGTTAATAAAGATTATATTATCCTAAAAAGCATTTTATTTATTAATGAAAACTGTATTTTTAATAAACTAATCCCTTCAAATAGATCATAACTAAAAATTATAGAAAATAGAGCGATTTTATTTTTACACGTTATTTTTACGTATGATTGGGCTTTATAGCCAGTGAAATATGATTGGGCTTCTAGGGTTAAAATAACACGGTTAAAAGGACTAATTTCGACATGGGTACATAATTATGTCCTCAGTGGTAACATATTACACTTGAAACTTAAGCAATAACTTAAAACAACAACACAGCTAACACTCCAATTAAAGCTTAACATATAAATAAAATTCAAGTTAAAAACAAAGAAACTTATTAACCTACAATTTAAGATACAAACTTAACTTATATCAACCCTAATAGCTCAATAATTAATTTATTTGATAGGTAAGACACACACGTTTCGAAGTAGACCTTTTAATGACTGCATTTTGTGTACGCAGAGTAACGACGCGAGTGATTTCGTCTGGACCAGGATGTTTTTTCTCGATTCTACCTAACAGCTACCTACCGGGCGGCAAATCATCCTCCTTAACCAAAACTACATCACCCACAGTTGGGTCCGGATTCTGATGAGCCCATTTATGGCGTTGTAGAAATTGATTCAGATAGTCCTTAGACCACCTGCGCCAAAAATCCTGCATCATGTGTTGTTGCAGCTGCCATCTGGATAGGTTACTAATATTACGAGTAGAGCGTTCATAATTTGAATCAGGAGCAACTACCAGCGGTTCTCCAACTAGAAAATGCCCTGGTGTTAATATAGTCAACCCATCCTGATCCTCAATGTAAGACAACGGTCTTGAATTAAGGCAAGCTTCAATTTGTGCAAGTACAGTTGCTATCTCTTCAAACGTTAAAGTAGAGTTTCCTATGACGCGTTTCAGGTGGTATTTGGTAGACTTTATACCTGCCTCCCATAATCCTCCGAAATTCGGCGAGTGAGGAGGAATAAATTTCCACTGAATCCCATTGTTTGAAAGATACTCAGCCAATTCCTCATTTACCCCTGATATTTCCTCGTTATATAAATATCGAAACTCTTGCCGCACCCACGAAATTCGTGCCGTTGTCACAGTAGATTTTTAGCAACCCGACCTCTCCTCGCCACGAAGCGTTTTAAAGCAGTCAAAAAGCCTTTGGTACTCAAATCACTCACTGCTTCCAAATGTACTGCACGAGTAGACATGCATATAAACAAAGCTATGTACCCTTTGTACGACTTGTTACCACGGCCCTTAGAAACTCTTATGTCTATAGGCCCAGCGTAATCTACACCACTACATAAAAATGGTTTACACGTATTCGGCGTAACACGTGCAACCGGTAATTGTCCCATAAGTTGTGTTCGAGTGGTAGCGGCATAACGAATACATCTGACGCAATTCCTTACATATTTTTTCGCTAACAACTTGATTCCTATAATCCAATATTTTGAGCGTAAATATGTGATCATAAGTTGTGGACCTCCGTGCAATGTCTTCTCATGTGCGTCAGCCACCAAAAGGTTAGTGAGAAATTACTCCCTTGGGACTAAAATGGGAGGCACCCGGTCATAACTGAGTTGTGACTTCTCCAATCTACCTCCAACTCTTATAATGTCTTCGGAATCAAGAAATATATTTAATAATTTCAGATTATCTTTTGTATTTTTTAAGCCCTCGTCACATTTTAACAATTTCAACTCGTCTGCAAACCCTTCTGCAACAAATTGGTGATACCTAAGGAATATCACTTGTTTTTTTCTAATTTGGTTAAAGTTGACAGCAATAGAGTTGATAGCGATTCGAAATAGGTAAAGGTATATTTTTCATATCTATATATATAAAAGAAAGTCGTGTTAGTTACACTATTTATAACCCAAGAACGGCTGAACCGATTTGGCTGAAAATTGGGGGGGAGGTAGCTTAAAACCAGGAGACGGACATAGGATACTTTTTATCCCTATTAATATTTGCTGCAGTTTCGTCGATTGCTTCAGCAGTATTGTATCGCAATGTACGTCAAAATAGAAATGGAGCGCTTAAGTTTCATTCGGTTGAACTAAGCCAAACTGCGTTCAGAGAAATATATCCATTTACGTGATGCAATTAATACTGAAGGAAATGCAGCTAATATTGGTCGATTAACTATTCTGACGGCGACGTACATAGGTAGTCCGCATCATATGCATGAATATGGGCAAGATGCAATGACTTATGTTCGTCATTACGGTCGGCCAGATCTCTTTATTACTTTTACCTGTAATTTAAAATGGATAGAAATTGTTCATTGCTGCTTCCCGGACAAACATCAAGTGATCGACACGACATCACAGCACGTGTATTCAGGCAAAAAATGCGGTCACTGATGAACTACATTGTTAAACAACGTGTCTTTGGAGATACTCGATGCTGATGTATTCAATCGAATGGCAAAAACGAGGCCTGCCGCACTCACACATTCTTATTTGGTTAGTGAAAAGAATTCAATCAGACCAAATATATGATATCATATGTGCCGAGATTCCCGATCACGAAGCCGATCCAGACCTCTATGATGTTGTAATTACAAATATGATAAAATAAAAATATAATTAAATCCAAAATGTGCTCATTTATTGCCTCTAAGGCAGAACAAAGTTCGCCGGGTCAGCTAGTTTCTTTAATAACATTATTAAGAAGTTACATCGTACGTAAATTCTTGAGAATGATTTTCATACCAATTTACTGAGTATTACAGATATTTAGTTGTATGCTTACTGTGATTATCTTTATAAATAATTAGGATCTGTTGAAGATCTGAAAGACTGTTCCTATATTATTATTACTAATTTAAGCAATTATTAAATAGATATTAATAATTTAATTACCTCCTATTTCTTTAATAGACCACTACTAGTAGTGATATTATTTTTTGTTAATTTTATGGAAGTCTTTAAGTTTTATTAATGTTACCAATACTTTTTGAGCTCTCTTTTATTAGAAATAATAAAAAAAAAAAATTAAGAAGTCTTTGATTATTTTACCTATTGTAACACACTTGACTCAATTATAAGGATGGTTTGCATTTAAATCTAGTCCATGTAAAGTGAATCAACTTATTTCATTTTAACAAAATAATAAGTTTATGACACTTTTTTTTAATATATAGGAAATCAAACAAATATATAAAATATTTTATACCGCACTTACTAAATAATTATGTTCCCAAAACGTAGATTCAATAATACGACGTATAAAAATATAAGTGGTAGCTGATCCATTTTTAACATACAATAAATTGATGTATACTAGTGTATGTACAATATCTCCTAAATTAATAAAAAAATGTGAAATTGATTTTGCTCTGTTGAAAGGCCTTATTATATTTAATTCAATATACTTAGGTATTTTTTCTCGATTCTATTAACCTTTTAAATAATAACCATTCCCTCTTTTTATATCCGTCCTGTAAACTTATTAGAAGAATAGTTGACTCAGTATACTTAGGAGCCGTCAATTTGTTAAGCGTTTGTTAAATATTTCCTCTTCTGGACCCAAATTTCTTTGGGGATAAGGGCGCATGAGATATGTCTTCAAGGGGTAGGGGTCATCTCCAACTAAGAAGTGAGGCAAAGCTATATCAGTGCAAGGTAATACTTTTTCTTGGCTTGCATTGAGAGCACCATTTTCCAATTGTCTTGAAAGATTCGAATGCGAAAATATTCTACCGTCACTCTCTTTGCCATAGGCCCCCAACGTCTATAGTAATAAATCGGTAGTTTGCATCCACAACAGCTTGCAGTACAATTGATAAAAATGACTTGTGATTACGGAACATGCTACCAGAGTGCACTGGCGCCTTTATGGCGTATATGTTTACCATCAATGCTGCCAGAACAATTAGTGAACCCCCATTTTGTCCAAAAATCATTAGTTATATTGACCATATCTTCCCTTGATGGAAACTTCATATGAATTTTAGAAAGATTTTCCCAAATAGCGTTACAAGTCTCATGTACAATACAACCTATAGTATTGTCTGATATGCTAAATGAATATCCAAGTGCTCGGAACGATGAACCAGTTGCTAAGTACCTGTAATAATAATACAAATTTTATTGTTTTCAGTTGACGAGATAAAAAAAAGTGGCGAGGACTACGAGATACTTTCGGGAAAGAGTTAAAAAAACACATCAACAAGAAGTCGGGCCAAGCAGCTGATACAGAACCTGATTCTAAATGGCCTTATTTTAAGCTTTTGCGTTTTCTTAGAAATACGATGTCTCGAAGGGATCTTAAAAGTAGCGTGCCAGATACTTATGAGATTTCTGATGGAGAGGATAGTGCAAATACAAGTACATGTGCCGACTATCTTCCGCCTTCGGCGTCCTCCGGTCAATCTTTAAAACCAAGTGGCGGACTAACTCCAAGCAAAATATTTAAATCTCCAAAAAAGAAAATCAAAAGACGTCAGCCAGATGAAATCGATACAAGGCTATTGCAGATTGAAGTTAAAGTGCTTTCAAGAAAGTGCAAACGATCCTGATGCCCAGTTTCTGATGAGCCTTCTACCATAAAGGATATCCCTAAACATCGTAAATTAATGGTACGAGCAAAATTACAGCAAGTTCTTATAGATGAACAAAATGCTATATCATCTGCAGTACTGTTTGATAGTTCTAGTGATTCGACTCAGTACAGTGTTGATTTTAGTATGCCACAAAAAAATTCATCACAAGGACAAATGCAACCATCTCTTAATATTCTTCCACAAGAACAATTGTCAGATGGTGCTCTCACTCACTATATCATGTAATTCAATCCAAACACAAATAATTAATGTTTAATATATTACTTTGAATAGGGATCTAAATAAAAAAAAATGTTTTACTTGCTTACCTGAAATTTACAATTAATCGTTCTTCGGGTTATATTGTGTCGCGAAAGTTACTGTATTTAGTTAGGTCAGGTCTTACCACATCACATCATCACACATCAACAGCCTTTAATAGTCCACAATAGTGCTGGACATAGGCCTCTCCTTAGAAAGGAGGTTTTGGCCTACTATACCACGCCGGCCAGACGGGTTGATATAGGGATTGTATCAAGTTTTCCTTCTTTTTGCAGTGCTGGTGTCCTGCGTTGTTTTGCGCCCTTAGTCGCCTCTTACGACACCCACGGGATGAATTGGGGTAGTGACATTCTGTATTCTTAATCCGTCACCACACGGACGTAGGTCGTATAGTGTTTAGAATATATTCAATCGTTTCTCTTTTCATACGTACATAATCATGAAACAGTATGTGGTCATTACATAAGTCTTCCATGATATGATGAAATTCACCAAAATCGTGTCTTTTTAAATATCTTTCACGCACCCATTCGGTTCTACGATAGCGACGACGCCACCACAGTCTTCGAGTTATAAGAGAATTGTCGTGAAGATACAGATTATTCATCGCGCTCCAACCAAAGCAGACTTCACAAATCCGATGTCACCAGAACACTGCTCATTTGACGAATAAAAACGTATACAGTGTGCGCACTCGATTCGTACGACCACGATCGTACGTATACTGTACGATACGAATTTGTGTCCAAAGTGCGCGCGGCCTAACTCTACCCGCGCCCGTCCTTCAGTCAGTGCCACGCACTTAACTGGAACGAACGTGTCGCGAGTTGTGAGACAACGAATATTTTTTTGTGGCAATTAATTCGTGAATTTGGTGCGTCTCAAATTTTGATGCGCTCGAAACTTTTGATTTTATGAGGTAAGTGTCTATATTTTTGTTTTATTTAAGTGTAGATGTATCAAATAAAAGATTTTGTTTATTATTTGTGTATGTTTTAACATATTTACTTCAATATTTTGAGCGGCGAAAAAGGATATTTTTCGTGGGGATAGACGAAAAAGGATAGATGCCTCATTTTTTGTGAGTATAGATGCCTTTAGTATAGAGCCTTTTTTTAAACTTTAATCGATTTTTTTATTGTAGATATGCCTCGCAAGTACGTGCGCAAAGTGGGGGCAAGCCCTCGGGGCGAATGGACGGAAGATGCGCTACGAGAAGCTTTTGAAGAAATAAGGCAGAATAAGTATGGCTTGAATGAAATATCTCGTCGTTATGGAATTCCTGCCAGGACCCTGAAAAGACGATTCGCAAAACAAGATACTACGAAACTTACTTTATGTACTTTGTATATTAAAATAATTCTTAATGAAACTACAAAAAAAAAATATTCATTTTTAATGGATTTTATGATTATTTCTAGGTAAACACCCCGTCCCCGTACTTCGATAACTAAAAACGGCTCGTCGCACACATCCAGAAACTAGAAGCACCTGGATTTCCTGAAACACCCGGAGAAAAGGGAGAGACTATGTCAATAATAGCTTGCTGCAATGCTGCTGGTTATTTTCTCAGCCCTGTTGTTATTATTAAAGGAGTAAATAAAAAGGCAGAATTTCTAGATGGTCTTCCTCATGGTGCCGATGTTTACATGAGCAAGAAATCAGCCTATGTTAATGCGGAGTTATTTCAGCAGTGGCTAGTACAGCATTTTATACCACGAAAGCCTCAAGGTAAGGTTATTTTGATTCTAGATGGGCATTCTTCTCATACGAACTCTGTCGAAATGTTGGAGACTGCCGAAGAAAATGGTATAATACTTTTTTGTCTGCCAAGCCACAGCACGCAAGCTTTACAACCCTTAGACCGTAGCTTTATCAAGCCATTTAAGATTTTTTATGCATCTGAGACGAGGAACTGGATGCTTACAAACAAAGAAAAAAAAACAACCGTTTAATAGCTGGCAGGCTAATTGGTAATTCATGGATTCGAGCGACTACGCCTTCTAATGCTATTACGGGCTTTAGGTCTTGCGGTATTTACCCTTAAAATCCGGCTGCTATTCCAGAAAGTTTCTTTGCAATCTCCGATTTGTCATCAATCAATCAACTCCGTGATGAGCCACAAGATATCTTACCTGAAAATACGTTACAATTACCTGGTCCCTCATGTAGCAATCAGTTGTTGCCAGAATCAAACTGCAACGAGGTTTCAGCTTTGGCTGAAACTCAAACTTCTACACTAACAAATGTTGATCAAACGCATGATAATTGTGGAAGTCATGATACAACGAGAAAGGATTCTCCATCTCTTCTTTCCCAATCTCATTGTCTGCAGCGAAATGAAGAAGGCGTAAGGGAGACACCTAGCAAGTTTTTGCAAGAATGTTCCCCTGTACCGAAAATTCCGATACCTTTATACAAAAGAGGAAAACAATCAGCTGCAGTACTAAATTCCAAAGAAAACATAGCTAATAAGAAAATCAAAGGTAAAGCTACTCCTAACATACCATGCAAAAGTAGTAAAGTAAAAGGACCAAAGATGACAGAAAAAAGGCCAAGAGTAGCTTCAGAAGAGACAGATTCATCTGCCACAAATGATTCTGATGAATTTTTCCAAGAAAATTAATCTCATGTTGACGTAAAACAGAAAAATATGAAGAGAGCTAAGAAATTAAAAATAAAAGAAAGAAATGAAACTTCAAGTGTTAATGTGATTCAACGTCCCATTCGTGCTGTTGAGAAAAAGCAACGGATAATCAAAAACGCTAGTGAACGAAAGGCAATCCCTTGTAGTGAGTCAGACTCTCTTGAAAATTCGTCAAATGTATGTCTGGAATGTTTTGAAAATTATGAGGAAATAAAATCAACGGCAGACTGGATCCAGTGCGTCATGTGTAAAAATTGGCTGCATGAAACTTGTACTATGTACGGTGATTGCTGTAATCCTTGTCAGCGATTAAAATTACGCCATGAAAAAAATATAAAATAGTTTAAAATTTAAATTCGATCAATTGTCTAAAACGTATCAGAAGTTGCCATTTTTAATATTCATACTAATATTGTATTATTAGATACTAAAATTGATCTCAGTTTTCAATTAAACCAAAGATGATTGTGTTTATAAATGAAAATGTAACAGTAATTGTTGATTAAAATAAATAAATCCAAAATAATCTTTTATTATATGCATAGGGCATCTATCCCACAAGCCAAATCATCATTATGGCATCTAACCCACACTTCAGGCATCTATCCTCGATTATAAAACTTTCCTTTTTTTTGTACCAAAAAAAATACAACTACTTATGTTAAATTACTTTAATTATTTATTTCATTAATAAGTACACAACACATCACAATCATGTAATTGTTAAGAAAACTCATATTCTATAATTTATTTGCCTATTTCAAAAAATGCGGCAACTATCCCACATTTATCCTAAAGATAGATAGATAACTCTTTATTTGCACACTAAATTACAGAGTTACAAGAAAGGAACACAGCGATCAAATATCGAGTGTACAAAGGGCGGCCTTATTGCTAAATGCAATTTCTTAAAGGCAACCTTAGGATGGATCAAAAGTTGCAGAGAGACAGTAGTAGTTGAATATCTGCATTTGTGAACCTACTATTAGTTTATTATTATCTACTATACATATTACATATACTACACATATTATATCATCTACAAACATTTTCAATTTTTATACTTACATCTACAATGCATATCACAATAAATAAACCTACATATATATAAGTACCTACATACTATACCAGCAAATATACATATACACATACATATATAAATACGCATTCTTAAATGAATAAACATATAGAAAAGAGAAACAGTTTCGTTACACCCTCAAGCGTGATGGACTCAATTAAGGTGAATAAAATTCCTGTACCATTTTCTTGAATCTATTTAATGTTTGCGCCTGCCTGATGTTAAGCGGCAGTGCATTCCACAAGCGCACAGCTTCAACAGTGAAGGATTGATCATAAAATTTGGTGGAATGCAGTGGCATCTCCTGTTGTAAACTTACGGATGACCGCAGACATTTTTCGCGTGTGTCATTAAGGAACTTGAATCGTTCTTTGAGGTAGCAAGTGGAAGCGTGGACATTATAGAGCTGTATCAAGTTATTTGTGAATATTTGGACTTTATCATTAACACACTGCGAATTTAACAAATTGTTCCAGTTGATGTTTCGCGCATCTTCCTTAAGTTTTACAAGATTCATCGCGCCAAAATTACGCTGCACAAGAATTCTCGGCTTTGCCTTGGGTGGTCGGATAACATAAGAGAGAAATATCAAGTCATGATAGGAAAAAGCATCGGCGGAATACTTACCATGGCTGATGACATGATCAGTAGAAGAGACTAGGATAAAATCAAGAAGAGAGGGAGTGCAGTTAGGGAAGTGGTGTGTAGCATCAAGTGTTAAGAGTGATAAGTTATTACAGTCCACAATTCTGCGTAGTGAAGAAGAGCGATGCTCATTTTTCATCAAGCAAGTATTGAAATCGCCCATTATTAATGTGTGGCTATAAGAGGGAGATAAGTTTTCTAGTAATTTTTCAAAAGGGGAAAAGTAATTAGTAATATACGAGGGAGAATAGTAAACACCAAGTAAAATCTTCGCATGATTAACTACTAGTTCTATAAAGAGGTGCTCGCCAGCGTCCGGTGATGGGGGCTGTGACGACATGTTTACAATGGTAAAGGGAATGTGCTGTCGCAGATATATGCCAACACCACCCCCACCACCGATCGCACGGTCATTCCTTATGAGATTGAAACCAGGAAGAGTATATGGTGTAGAAGGTAGGCACGGTTTTAAACATGTCTCTGAAACTAAAATGGCGTGAATGTTTTTGCAATCAAAGGTCAGCATATCAGGGAAATGAGCTGGAATACCCTGGGCATTGATATGGACTACATTAAAATTCCGCGGAGCATTAGAAAATTGGTACTGAAGATTCTCATGGAGTGAGGGTATGCTAACGTAACTAGAATCAAGACTGTTTATCGAGTAAAAACTGTCATCATCATTATTGTCCAAGTCAGACATAAAGTTGACTCAAGAATATATAAGTAAACTAATAGAGCAATAATGTTCAATAAATAACAATAATATATGAATAGTAGTAAAAAAAAAAAAATAATAATTTTATGATCCACTCGCCAGTCGTGTGCTTTACATTTAGAAATTACTGGAAGGTATTAACTAAATAAAAGTAATCATAAAAAGAAAAGAAAACAAAAACAAAAAGAAGCAAAATTGTGTCACACTTTTCTGGGCGAACTTCACGTTCAAAAGACTTTGTTTCAAACTTACAACTAATCAATGACAAACAATAGTGTTGCAGAAAAATATCGCACCTTCAGAACAAAAACGCCATAATTAAAAAATATCGAGAATTGAGTTATCCGCATAAAATGACTTTAAACGAAATTCTCAACGTTACAATAGTTCAAATATAGCCATATTCGGGCGGGAACAGGACAAAAGTGTTATAACGGTCTCTTTCTTACGTGGCAACATGCGAGGCCTCATCGGGGTTGAAACGACGCAGTTAGTATCACAGATTAAAAGATATGTACATATGTTTGCATCGCTAAGTGCAGGACGTCGCCGAGTCAGTCGTCTAGTGACCGAAAGCTTATTACGTCGTTTTCATTCCGAAACAATTGGTAAGTTCTCTTTCGATTATTAATATAAAAACGACCAGTTTAGCTTTGCTATTGTTTTGTTCCGATTTATAAGGTAACATTAGTGGCTAATTCAGATTTGTCGCATTTTAGTATTAAAGTCATCTATAATTCCGATAACGGATTTAAGTTTATGTCGTTTTAATAATAACTTACGATGAATATTTTAAAGTCCGTCTCATGAGAGAAGTCCCGCGGCAAAAAGTGGAATTAATTATGACAAATCGGCCATGTTGTCGTTTGGTTTTCGTTGTCAGGTGATGTTATAGTGTTCGGACTATTGAGATTTTTATTAATTTTCCTTAATTAAAGTGCTGTTTACAATGCCTAAAGTTATAAAAAGTGCTGGCCGAGAAATTATATTGAAGGTAAAGGAGTTTTGTGATGCAGAACAGCGCAATCATGGCGTTTTGATACCAATAAACAACGTTCGCAAGAGAGTTGCGGCCATGACAGGTACGTAATTGGGGCTACCAGCTATGTAATTTTTACCATTCTATTTGGGACTTTAACTTGTGTGTTTAATGCGTATATAATTAACATTCTGTATTAAGGTTGAAGTATTTTTAGGGTTTCTTACCTCAAAAGGAAAAAACGTTACCCTTATTGGATTGTTGTGTATGTCTGTCTGTCATCATTTTCTCGAGAAATAAAAAAAATATATTTCTGATTTAATTGATAAGTTTTGGGGGTTAAATTGATGGGGAAGAAAATGAAACTCCCCAATAGTCTAGATAAATAAAGAATATTATTATAATATTAAAAGAATATTATTTTATTTACCAATTCATTTTTTTTTCAGGTGTGTCTGAAAAAACTATTTCAAGAATAACACAAGAACGAAAAACAGCTTCAAGGACTTCAAAAAAAATTGTCACACCTGGGAAAAGTCGTCCACGTTCAAAAAAAATTAATCTGGATGGTTTCGACCTCTGTGCTATTCGCCATAAAATTCAACAATTCTATACAGTAAAAAAAGAGCTGCCTACTTTAAACAAATTACGTGCAGTGTTGAAAGAAGATATTGATTTTGAAGGAAGCCGCGCCACCCTGCACAGGATATTGAAAAGCATTGGATTTAAATACAAACGATGCCAGTCTAAAAGAAAAATATTAATGGAGCGTTATGATATAACTGCTTGGCGCGCTAGATATGCTCGAAAAAATGCGCAAAAATAGAACCATCGATAATAGACCTGTGGTGTTCTTGGATGAATCTTATATCCACAACACATACCATACCAAAAGTTGTTGGCAAAGTGATGAACAGCCAGGACTTTTCACTTCAGAGTCTGCTGGGAGTAGATGGATAATCGCTCATGCTGGTTCTGAGAATGGCTTTATAAATAATGCTTTTCTAATCTTCAAGTCATAGTCAAAGTCGTCTGATTATCATGACGATATGAATTCAAGCAATTTTCTAAAATGGATGACTGAAAAATTAATACCAAATTTGCCAGAAAGGTCTCTAGTGGTTATGGACAATGCTCCATACCAATGCACGCAAATAAATAAGGCACCAACCACGTTAAATTTAAAAGCTGACATGCAAAAGTGGTTGCAAGAAAATGGCGTTTATTTTGAAGAGAGCTGGACAAAAGCCATATTGTTCGATTTAATTAAACAAAATAAAGGAACACCAACTTATGCTGTGGATGAACTCTTAAAAAATCACAACCACGAAGTTTTAAAACTGCCACCGTATCATTGCGATCTGAACCCAATCGAAAAAATATGGAGTCTTGTAAAAAGACGCGTGACTGAGAAGAATGTTGACCAAGACACGAAAAAAATTGTGAAATTGACGAAAGACGCGTTTGCAAGCGTCACACCAGAAGATTGGTTTAAACAATGCAAACATGTGGAGCATCTAGAAGATGAATATTTCAGAAACGACGGGTTGATAGATGAAGAAATGGACCGGTTTATAATATCTACAGAAAATGATAGTGAAACAGAGTCTGATCACGATAGTGATATTGATGAAGATAATTCGGATAGTGACTGCAGTATGTCTGGAGTAAACCCTATTGATGACCACAATTATACAATAAAAATTTAAAATGTTTTTTTTTATTTTATTAACACAATCATAAAAGTATTTAAATGTAGATGTACTTACTGATTATCACATAATATTAGTATGTAATGTTTATATAGTCTATATGATCATATTTGTATATTTTATTTATGTTAAGTACATACTTAAGTTTTTAGATATAACTCTTTTTACAACACCACCGGTCCACCGCTATCTTTTTACTCCTTAAACTTATTTCATTTATATATTCATTAAAAGGTTATCTGGAAAAGATCGCTATTATCGATAACATCGCCCACTGCCTATTTATTATTATTAAAACTATTAACTATATTACTATATTACTATTACTAAAACTAAAATCGAATTCATCCTGAAATGTTTTTAAATTGGAATTTTGGGGAGTCTCTAATATTAGAGGTTAGCAACATTCCGTCGCATGACTGTAGCGCCGCGTCTGCGAGACTTCTTTCGTGAGACGAACTTTAGTAAGAAATATTCGCCAGCCAGTGGAAACAGTTTGACCTTGAGAGCGCTTTTATTTCCTTATAATCTTTTATACTTATTGTACATTAGTAAACAATCACTGATTAAAATCACAAAGAACGATAGAACAATATTTCTGGCAATTATCACTGTACACTTGTAAGTGAAACATTATTTTCATCTAGCTAAACAAACTTACCAACCACAGAAAGCTATAGTTGGTTTTATGATTTCAGGATTCTTCAATCAAAAATGATATGGTAGAGAACTTGTCTTTAAATTCCTCATCGTTTATTGAAAACTCCCCACAGTGTACACAGACTGATAACATCAACATTTTTACCTTGACTCATTCTATAGAAACGGTAAGTGAGAGATATGTCTCTAAGCTATAATTAATTCTATCATTGTGTATCAGTCAGTCGAGTTTGCCCCCTCTTCCATAAAAAAAGAGTGTACTTACCATATTAAACTACTTTACTTACCTAACGCTTTGGTCCTTTTTTCAGCAGCAATATTACACTTTAGATAAAGAGTCAATTCTTAATCAACACACACCCACCAGGAAACCTGTTCAGGGTAGAAGGGTATCCTCTTCATCTTGTTCAAGTTCATCGCGCTCTAGTTCCAACTCCTCAAGTAGCAGCTCCTCAAGGTCCAGTTCATCCGCTTCAAGAAACGCACAAAATATGAAATTTAACGTAATCACCTCTCATATTAATGTGGATGGCGCGAGTACTAGCCAATTAGCTACAAGAAGTGGCAGAGCTATTTCCAAATCAAATTATTTCGCATCTCCTATCAATGGTCCTGAAAGTGACCCGGATCTAAGCGACTAATGAATTAATGAATCCCAAAGAACTGCGATTTTTGAATCATATTGGAAGCATAGAACCTTGCAAGCATAGAATTTAAAAGATCCTTCATTAGTTCTTGCATCATGGAAGTCAAGCCGAAGTATAAATATACCAATGCTGAAAAGCCCAGGGCACCAAACAGTGCGTTTTTCTTTACGTGATAAAAGTGTGATGTGTGATGATAAGTCATAAAAAAATTCGAGTTTGCAAAACATTTTTTATAAACACTTTGGACATAACCGAAAGACAGATAAGAACTACAAAAGCAAAAATAAGTGAAAACGGATTTATAGCTGAAAATCGACGAGACTATTATAAAAGATATTGAAAACCATATAAATTCAATCCCAAGGGTAGAATCACACTACCTAAGAGCCTCCGCATCTAGGGACTACATTGAAGGAGGCAGGACTATAAAAGATCTTTGGAGAGACTTCTCAGAACCAACAGATCCAAATAAACCCAAAGTAGAGTACTGCCTATATAATCATGTTTTTAATAATAATTTCAATTTAGGATTCTTTCAGCATAAAAAAGATCGTTGTGATCTATGTTTGGAGTATGAAATGGCATCTATGGATCACAAAGTGAAGTTAAAGGAAAAATACGAGAGTCATTTAAAAGAGAAAGACCTTTGTCGGCTTGAAAAGAACAACGACCGGAGAAATATTGATGAAGGAAATATTTTTACCGTATTTTTTTTCAGGCAGTCATGCAATGCCCTTTAGGAGACTCAAGTTCTTTTTATTATATATCGAAACTCAACTGCCTTAATTTTACCATGGCAGAACTGGCTAAGAAATCTGACAAAAACATAAATAAAAGACAGGAAGTTGAAGGAAACCATGAAGAAGACAGTACTGAAGAAGAAACTATAGGCGCTTATGGGGATGTTTTTAATTACTTTTGGGATGAAAGGCAAGGAAAAAGAGAGGCAAACGAAATAGGATCGTGCATATTGGAATATCTAAACAATATCAGTGTAAAGAACAATAATATTGGTTCTTTAATTTAAATCTGCTGCGTTTAAGATCGTCGGTAATTTAGTGCGTGTGAAGTGGATAAAACAGAGTAAGTTTTGAGACTATGTCATGAAGAGTGTCAAATACAAAAAGGATTGACGGACGGACGGAAGGATTGAGAGAAAATAATAAAATAGAATAGCTAGTGAAGAATAAACTTTAATGTCGTTTCTTTGTTTACAGGTAGGTGTTGTAGTATAAGTACCTAATAAGTTTGTTTGTAAAAAATAGTGTTTAATGAGAATAAAAACTTTGTTTACAGAGCAACACAGTTTATATCAATTACTAGCCCTAAATTGAAGAACCAATCTTATATCAGTAAAAAATATCCTAATAATTTTTTTAGATAATTGCTGTGGGCAGCATAAAAACAGGTTTATTGCATGTCTTTACTCGTCTCGTCTAAATTTCCAAATATAATGAGTATAACTCACAAATTTCTCATTCGCGGCCACACACAGAACGAAGGTGATAACGTCCATAGCATAATAGAAAAGGAAGTGAAAAAAAACCTTAAATCTGGACCAATTTACACATTGATGGGATGTGTAAATTGGTCCAGATTTAAGGTTTTTTTCACTTCCTCGTACGTTGCCTTGATAAAAAACGCTAAAAAGACGGGAAAACCTTTTAAGGTGCTGGAACTTTATTATGACTTTTTTGTTGATTTAAGAACCCTACATGATCAGTGGGGTTAAAATTTTAATGAAGACGATGAGCGTAATCCGGTGTCTTGGAACGATATAAAGGTATTAAGATTTGTAAAAGACGAACCTTTTGTATTTTTCTTTAAAACTTCTTACACGTATGAAAATTTTAAACGTGTGAACATGAGAAATAAACGAAAACGAATGCCTAACATTGAAGATGTTGGCTCAATTCCAAAAGCATACACAAATAAAATAGAACTAAGTGAAAATAAAAAGAAGGGACTCAACGAATTACTGCGGAAAAATTTAATATCTACTTTTTATATAGATTATTACAAATCGTTATTGGATGATTAAAAAGACTGACTGTAAGTTAGAAAGCTCCTAGTGTACGAAGATTTTGTTTGGTTGGTCTGTTGATTCTAAAGACTGTTGTAGAACTTATTTTTTTGTTGATTATTGCCTTGATTTAACTTTTGTTTAAAGATTTATAGAATAAATTACGTTTTTTTACAATATTTTTTCTAAGATAGTTCCTAATGAACAAAGATCTCGTTTAATTATAAGCGTTGATAATAAGAGTTTCAGAGAGTGGTGTTAAAGTGTTTTTTTACGAATTGCTATTCGTATAATCACTAAATCACCATTCTCAACAAATATTTTGTTACACTTGTGCTTTGAAAAAGTACTCTACTTGTTTCTTTTAAGTTTCATTTTTTCCTTTGAGAATTTTTATCACAGATTTCTATTATATTTATTAAGAAGAGTGCCTAATAAACAAAGATCTCAAAATTTTATTATAAGTGTTGATGTTGATTAAGCTTGTAATTTTATTATAGTTCTAAGTCCCAAAGGATATTTATACACTTAAAATAATTTCTTTTTTGTTTTCATACAAAACATTAAAATTATTAAAAACTAAAACCAATTGCTTTTTTCTGCCCAAATGACGCACTTTTCACTTTGGTATCCCATTATTTGCCATTTATAAGGAATAAATAGATCTAAGTCTGAAAACGAAAAAAAAAGTTAATGTTAAAAAAATGAAAACGGCGTAATACTCAAATTTTCACATTAAAGACATTTATTTCGGACCAAAAAAGATGCAACTCCTAAACCGTCTTTACTTATATAAATTTTTCGGTCTAAAAGTGACCGATAAAATAAAATACATTTTCTTCTATATTATTCATTTTAATTATTAAGTTTTTTCATTGCGTAATAGTAGCTGAATAACTTATTTATCACTCATAAATAATCACTAAATAATAGGCGAAAGATTGCGCAAGTGTCAAAATCGTAAATCTTGTTTTGCTTATTACCAAAAAGTTGTTTTTTTGAGTTACGTCGTCTTCATCCTGAGGTTGCGATATGCGGCCTGGAACGCAATTTGACTTTCTTTGACACTTGACAGCTATTTTTGTTTTGAGATTTTTTAAATAAAGGTAGATCAACAAAATAAATGTGTTCGGCTGGTTTAATGATGTTGAACCAATGATGTTATAGTAAAAAGAGGTAGATAAGTTACTTGCGACTATAAAGCGGCGCCGTAAAACTGGACTAATTAGCGCACTCAAGCTTAGTAAACGGTAAACGTAGTGTAGGAGGCCCACAGGCCAGGTGGAGTGACGATTTGCGCAAGATGGCTTGCAGGAGCTGGATGCGAGAAGCCCAAAATCGATCTAAGTGGCGTGCAATGGGAGAGGCCTATGTCCAGCAGTGGACTGCGATAGGCTGATGATGAGCTTAATCTCGTGAAAGCATTGGTAACGTTGACTGTGCCCTTTGTTCCGCGAAATTTCTATAAAATGCCGTCCTGTGTTATGCGACACTGTAGAAACTACACAAGTAAGACTTCCAAAAGTCTAGGGATCACATATCATGCGTAAGTATTAATTTTGAATTGATTTGCTTTCATATTGTTTAGGAAATCCAAAATATTAGCTTAATTTTTATCATAAAAGGTTCGAGTGCGACGGCATATACTCCGGTCACCGAGTGTAAGAGAGATGTCTGTCAAGATTATAAAAAGTAATATAACAGAAAGGACATTTCCATGATAGTGCCTACACATTAGCTCACATCAACTACGAAATGAATTAACAAGTTTGATATTATTTTAAAAGGTTTCCGGCAAACGAATTGAGGTGTAACCAATGGATAAATATTGTACGTAGACAAAGGCGTGAGGAGGATTGGCGGCCAAATACTTCAAGTAGAATATGTTCGGTACATTTTAACATTGCTGATAAATACACATCTAAAAAGGGATTAACGTTATTGAAAAAGACAGCATTTCCTGTTTTGGAGGTATGGTATCTATTGTATAATATGTATCGTAGAAAATACGAATGATCATTTTATAAAAATATTTTTATTGACAATGTAGGCTTGCTTCAGGAACCATCACAATGTGTGTCTCGGAGTGCAGGAGCAAGTCCAAGCATTGATCATGAAAATATATCTGATTTGGAGGCTTTTCTGGAAACACCTCGAAAATGGCACTTAAAAATGTATTCGAAAAAAAAATTAATAAAAAATAATAAAAATCTATCTAAAAGGAATAAAAGATTAGAAAAAAAGGTTAGAAGTATGAAAAATATTTTAAAACATTTGAAAAAGAGGGAATATGTCTCCGACGAACAATTTAACGAACTGAATGTTAAGCCAGTAGTTTATAATATCTTTACCAGAATAGTCCGTCAAAAGAAAAGTAAGAAAGGCCTGCGACTAAAATATCCCCCAGCAATGCGAAAATTTGCTCTAACCCTGAATTTCTACTCCCCGGCTGCATATAAATACGTAAGACAAGTTTTCCATACTGCTTTGCCACATCCACGTGTGTTAAGCAAATGGTATGAAAATAGTTCAGTGTTACCTGGCTTCACCTCTCAAGCATTCGATACTCTAAAAAAGAAAAGTGAACTTAGTGGTAAAAGATTGCTGTGACCCTTGTGGTTGACGAAATGGCACTGAGACATCAATCGAAGTGGACAGGAAAAAAAAACGGATGGTGTAGTAGATTTCGGTGATTCCACATTCAGCAAAGTAATTGCCACGGAAGCATATGTATTTCTATTGGTAGCTTTAAACGAGATTTGGAAGCTTCCGGTAGGCTATTTTTTTGTAAAAGGTGTCACTGGTGAAACAAGGGCTAATTTAATAAAGTCTTGTTTGAGTAAATGTTTTCACTCTGGGGTAGATGTTTTTGCTCTTACTTTTGACGGTTGTCAAGCCAACTTTTCAGCGGCTAATATCTTAGGCTGTGATTTTAAGAACCCAGATAACTTGAAAACCACTTTTAAGCACCCGGAAACACAGAAGTGGCAGTATTTTTTGATCCATGCCATATGAATAAACTAGTTAGAAACACTTTCGAATCTAAACGAATCATTTTCAACGAGTGCGAAAAAGAAATTAAATGGCATTTGTTAGTTAATTTACACAAGCTGCAAGCCAATGAAGGGTTAAATTTTGCAAACAAAGTGACTGAGCGACATTTGCATTTTCGAAATGAAATAATGAAGGTAAAATTGGCGACTCAGTTACTCAGCAAAAGCGTTGCTAATGCATTAGAGCTCTGTGAACAGCTATTAGTGTCTTCAAGATTCAAGGAAACAGCAGCAACCGTCGAATTTATCAAGAATTTTAATGACCTGTTTGATGTATTCAATTCGCAATCTTGGAATTCCTGGATAGAGTAAAACAGTATATCTTGTCGTTAAAAATTTACAATAAAACGAGACGGGCAACTAGACGTCGCATTACTTTACAATCACCAAGAAACGGTTAGTGGAATGCAAATGTAAACCTGGTTTCCTGGGATTTTTGGTATGCATTAATAGTTTAAAACACCTTTATGCTTCACTAATTGAAGATAATCAAACACTGGACTACATATCCACATACAGACTGAGCCATGATCACATAGAGATTCTATTTGGCGTCATCCGGAAGCACTGAGGCTACAATAATAACCCTAACGGGGTCCAATTTAAGGGTATATATAAAAAGATTTTAAATCATTTGGAGCTGCGTAATGCTTTTAGTGGTAACTGTTTCCCACTAGAAAGCGTCCCTATTTTAAATTATTCATCTGCTATCTCGAATATTAACTGGTCTTCTGGTAAACGTGCAATTCCTGACGATGATTCTGTTTCTTCAGACGGAGCCATATTACTGAAAAGCGATAACACTACACAGGACAATGTTGATATATTTGTGAAAATTCTTAATGATGAATACTCAACCGATTCTATAAAACAAATAGTGGGCTACATTTCAGGTTGGATAGCAAGAAAATTAACTCATGTCATAAGATGCGAAATTTGTATTAACACCTTATTTTCTTGTGAAAAATTGTGGATCCACAGATTGATATCAATCAAAGACATGGGTGGCCTATGTTACTCGACTAAAAATTTGTTCATTATTTGCTTGAAATCGGAAAACATAATAAAGGCTGACATAAAAGAGAACGGTATATATTTTACTACAAACAAAGCAATTGATGTTGTTAAAAATATTATTTTAAAATCTTTTATTAATTCAAATGTTTTTAGTAATCTGCACGATCATGCGATGACACAGCCACAAACTTTTAATCATCGCCTACATTTAATTAAAGCTATAATAGAAAAATATGTAAATGTCCGTCTTCACTATGCGCATAAAAACAACCCCGACTTGAAAAAACTATCAAAAAGGCAAAAAAGAAACAAACTTAATTTGTTTGAAGGTAATTAGAAGTAAATGAAAATAAAGTATTATAATAAGTTTTTTGCCGTTTTATTTAAGCAGAATTCATTTTAGACATAGCAATTCTGCTTACTTAATCGTAGGCATCAAACCATTTTATGTCTGTTATGTGACAATTAATTGATAATCTTTGAAGTAAGTCGTGATATCGCAACGACACTGCGAGAAACTCCTCTGTAAACTCTAACTCTGTAAACTCCTCTGCGAGACCAGCCAAGCTAGCAGCATTTGAGGCCTTCTTCAGGAGCTCAAAACAATCCTATAGTTCTTGTATAGTGCTCATAGTGATGCTGTGTTTAGTTTTTATTTTTGAAAATTGAATACTTTAGTTTTTTCTGTGGATATAACACTGACTAGCAGGTATTTATTATTGAGGTTTTATTGTATTCATTAAATTTATGTAAAGAAAATATATATTCTTTAATTTATTATCTACAATGTCATCTAAGTGAAGAATTTTATTATGCTGGCAATATTGTGAGAAAACAGCGCTTAAAAAGAGTGACTAACTAAATTGGAAATAAAACTACAAAATATAAAGGGAATTTAGAATTAAAATAATATACTTTAATCGCCGTTTCTTTGTTTTACAGGTAAGATTAAAGATATTTGCAATAGATGCGTAGATGTTATAGCGATTTACGTTAAATAAAAAACTTTGTTTTACAGAGCAACACGTAGATATTATTTGTTCTTCATTCCCATAAAATTACATTATAAAACGACGATTTTAGTTAAGAAAATATGGAGAAATTGCTATTTAAATTTGCTTCATTGGCGGCAGCGGATGGGAAATCTAACGTAATTTGCATAACCTCAATTGGCACACCGGACGGACGCATGTATGAGGTCCCAGATGATCTAAAACCTGCAAGTAAGCACACTGCTTTAGCGTCTACAGACGTTTATGCGAAGGTAAAAAATTCGCTGAAAAAAAGACATCAAACACGCGCAGTATGGATTCCTCTAAGTAAAGAACTGAAGAATGTATATCTAGCAGCAAGCAGGGAAAATAAAATCAATGTTCATTATATATCGTATAAATATAAAAGAGGTTGACAATATTTTCAAATATACTTGTTATATAACATCTAATAAATCTTACAGAGTCAAGTTCAATATATGTCCATGTAAAACTATCTATCCAGAGCCAACTATCACAATAAATTCAGACTTCAATATATACTTACCTGTGTCAGGCTATAAGAATATAGAAACTGAGCAGTTTGTTGATGAGGGTATAATAGGTAGTACTACAGACACATTGATAGAAAGTATCATAGGAGATAACGACAATATTTCAAACATAGTATCTCACACAATAAATTACGCTAAACTTTACCTGAAATATAATCATGGCAGAGAATTACACATCACAGGATGTTCTCAACAAGCTGGGGCTTGGGAGTAGTGAGGAAAATACAGCAGAATTTACTAATTCTGGTATTGTTCCAAATTCTATTGCTAGTGCTGACATCAAGAAAACTCTAACTATAATGGGGATCACACCAGAAGACTTTATAAGAGACTACTCATCTATGGAGTTTGATTTTAATGCCCTTAGAGGTACATTTAGTGAGTTCTGCAAAGACTTTGATGATGATTTACAAGATGGTGTGGCTAGCAAGGCTTTAGAGTTCTGCTCTAAAGTATTGTTTGAATATGGACCATACATAAGATCTGAGAGGAAGTCTAAAGGTGATAAGGCTATTAGATTCAAGTTCCCTTACAAGAAGACATCTGGAGTTCCAAGCTCAAGCACTTCAGCTGATAGGTTAGTTATTAAAGTAGTCATAGTGACTACATTCAAGGATATTAAGTATACTACAAATCAACTTGACAATAAAATGGTACTAACCTTTAGACAAGCTGCATTATTATCAATGGTTACGTTTTCTAAAGCTATAGAATTTTGTTATAATAAAGCTGAAGGTTCTAAGCTAATGTCTCCATTGTGTGGTGCAATATTTTCAAGAGACTGTATTACTGCTCTTAGTAAGGAATTAAACACTGATGAGATAAGCACATTAAGAATATTGAATGAGAGTTCAACATCTGGTGGTCAATATTTAGAACACTCAGACATTTCATGTGCTATAGTATGTATGATAACTTCTACAAAGAAAGTCTCAGATGCAAATATTAGGGATCTTATGATTAGTAAGACAGTCAAACAGTATATCCACAAAGGCAAACAGTATAATGCTGGTAAGTTCAGGATATTTGCTAAGTATGCATTAGGTGGTGTGCCCTCAGGATTGGACTCTAACACACTAATAACTGCATATAAAGATATACAGATGCAGCAAGTGTCAGCTAGAGTTCAAGCAATGGCTATAAAACAATCGTCTCAAACTGTGGCACCTAGAGAAGAGCCTAAATATATAATACATAATAACACAGTACAACCCGTGAGAGACAATTTAATTTCAATTAAAGATTTCCCAATACCTAAGACTCAGAAAAATGTTAGACAGTTTCTTGGGAAAGTTAATTTTTATCACGAATATTTGCCAAAAAGTGCGATAATTTTAGAACCTCTTCATAATTTACTCCGAAAAAATACTAAATTTGTATGGTCTGCGGATTGTCAAAAATCTTTTGAAATTATAAAACATTTATTATGCTCACAACCAATCTTAGAAATTTTTGATCAAAATTTGCCTATAAAAATTCATACAGATGCATCTTTAGAAGGTATTGGAGCAGTCTTAAAACAAACACAGCCAAATGGAGTAGATAAACCAGTAGCATACTTCTCAAAAAAACTAAACCAAGCTCAAAAGAAAAAGAAGGCAATTTATATAGAATGCTTAGCAATAAAGGAAGCTATAAGATACTGGCAATATTGGCTTATAGGTAAAACATTCACTGTATATTCTGACCATAAACCACTAGAAAATTTAAATATTAAATCTAGGACAGACGATGAACTAGGGGATTTAACATATTATTTATCACAATATGATTTTGTAATCAAATATGCACCTGGTAAACACAATGTTGAAGCAGACTGTTTGAGTAGGAACCCAGTATTAGATGCAAATGAGAGTACAGATGAACAATTGAAAATTGTAAACATGATAAAATTTAATGATATTATTACAGACCAAGAAAACAATTTAGACATACAAAAAAATAAATCAAATTTGATACTAAAACATAATGTATACTATAAAAACTTTAAAAAACAACAAAAAATTATTTTATCTGAAGATTATAGTAAAAAGCTCATTAAACATGTACATGAAAACATGTATCACTTAGGTATTAAGCAAATGCAAAACAAAATTAGTAAATTATACACAGCAAAAAACTTAACAACAAACATAAAAAAACATTGTCAAAGCTGTGAAATATGTATAAAAAACAAGAACAGGGGGCATGCTAAATTTGGTCTAATGTCCCAGTTAGGTCCTGCCACAAAACCTTTTGAAATTGTCTCGATAGATACAATTGGAGGTTTTGGAGGCTCACGATCAACAAAAAAGTATCTACACCTTTTAGTGGACCACTTTACCCGATATGCATACATTGTTACTTCAAAGACACAAAATGCTAATGATTTTGTAAAACTACTCAATAAGGTAGTAGAGTCTTATACTATTGGGATGGTACTCACTGATCAGTACCCAGGAATCAACTCAAAAGAATTTAAATCATTTTTGAATAGAAAATCAATACCAATAATTTTTACTGCCGTAAATGCCCCATTTTCTAACGGATTAAATGAACGACTTAACCAAACTCTTGTAAACAAAATAAGATGTAAATTAAACGAAAACAATAGTAATAAAAAAGCATGGACAACCATTGCTCATAACTGCGTAGATAAATATAATAATACTGAACATACAGTTACAGGGTTTGCACCTAAATATTTATTAAATGGTACAGATGTTTCTTTTTTACCAAATGAATTAAAAATAAATAAAACAGAAGTAGAGTGGATCAGAGATAAAAAAATAGCATTTGAAAATTCATTAAAATCACATAACTGTAATAAACAAAGATTTGATAAGAATAGGACATACTTTGATTTCAGCGCAGGGGATTTGGTTTATGTAGAAAATGGTAACAAACTGAATAGACGTAAATTAGATGAACTAAAGATTGGTCCATTTAAAATTATTGAAAAAATATCTAATTCAATTTATAAAATTGATACAGGTCATAAAAAATCTGAGTCAAATCTCTTTCATATTACTAAACTTATACCATTTCTTAAACAAAAAACTTAAATACTATCATTAGTATAATTAATACTATCAATAATGGAAATTTGAGAAGAATCTGAATATGCATGTATACTTATTGTGTATTTGTATGTATACTTTAGTGTTAAGTTAGTTAAAGTATTAATTAATATATAACTAAATGTAAAATAGGTAACTTAAGGTAAGATTGTCATAATTTTTTTTTGGAAATTGTTTAACATTAGTTAAACAAAACAAATTTGTTTTGTTTTACACATTGCATATACAATAGGTACTATTAAAAGATTTTAAGGATTGATGTTTAAATTGATATAATTTAAAATAGTTGACTTTTGTTGTTAAACTTTTACTTTAATTTTATTGTTAGATTACTTGAGATTTCTTAGATGTGTAATTTCAATGAAAGTTTTGGTAAACTTTCTTTTTGAGGAGGGAGATGTAAAGAAAATATATATTCTTTAATTTATTATCTACAATGTCATCTAAGTGAAGAATTTTATTATGCTGGCAATATTGTGAGAAAACAGCGCTTAAAAAGAGTGACTAACTAAATTGGAAATAAAACTACAAAATATAAAGGGAATTTAGAATTAAAATAATATACTTTAATCGCCGTTTCTTTGTTTTACAGGTAAGATTAAAGATATTTGCAATAGATGCGTAGATGTTATAGCGATTTACGTTAAATAAAAAACTTTGTTTTACAGAGCAACACGTAGATATTATTTGTTCTTCATTCCCATAAAATTACATTATAAAACGACGATTTTAGTTAAGAAAATATGGAGAAATTGCTATTTAAATTTGCTTCATTGGCGGCAGCGGATGGGAAATCTAACGTAATTTGCATAACCTCAATTGGCACACCGGACGGACGCATGTATGAGGTCCCAGATGATCTAAAACCTGCAAGTAAGCACACTGCTTTAGCGTCTACAGACGTTTATGCGAAGGTAAAAAATTCGCTGAAAAAAAGACATCAAACACGCGCAGTATGGATTCCTCTAAGTAAAGAACTGAAGAATGTATATCTAGCAGCAAGCAGGGAAAATAAAATCAATGTTCATTATATATCGTATAAATATAAAAGAGGTTGACAATATTTTCAAATATACTTGTTATATAACATCTAATAAATCTTACAGAGTCAAGTTCAATATATGTCCATGTAAAACTATCTATCCAGAGCCAACTATCACAATAAATTCAGACTTCAATATATACTTACCTGTGTCAGGCTATAAGAATATAGAAACTGAGCAGTTTGTTGATGAGGGTATAATAGGTAGTACTACAGACACATTGATAGAAAGTATCATAGGAGATAACGACAATATTTCAAACATAGTATCTCACACAATAAATTACGCTAAACTTTACCTGAAATATAATCATGGCAGAGAATTACACATCACAGGATGTTCTCAACAAGCTGGGGCTTGGGAGTAGTGAGGAAAATACAGCAGAATTTACTAATTCTGGTATTGTTCCAAATTCTATTGCTAGTGCTGACATCAAGAAAACTCTAACTATAATGGGGATCACACCAGAAGACTTTATAAGAGACTACTCATCTATGGAGTTTGATTTTAATGCCCTTAGAGGTACATTTAGTGAGTTCTGCAAAGACTTTGATGATGATTTACAAGATGGTGTGGCTAGCAAGGCTTTAGAGTTCTGCTCTAAAGTATTGTTTGAATATGGACCATACATAAGATCTGAGAGGAAGTCTAAAGGTGATAAGGCTATTAGATTCAAGTTCCCTTACAAGAAGACATCTGGAGTTCCAAGCTCAAGCACTTCAGCTGATAGGTTAGTTATTAAAGTAGTCATAGTGACTACATTCAAGGATATTAAGTATACTACAAATCAACTTGACAATAAAATGGTACTAACCTTTAGACAAGCTGCATTATTATCAATGGTTACGTTTTCTAAAGCTATAGAATTTTGTTATAATAAAGCTGAAGGTTCTAAGCTAATGTCTCCATTGTGTGGTGCAATATTTTCAAGAGACTGTATTACTGCTCTTAGTAAGGAATTAAACACTGATGAGATAAGCACATTAAGAATATTGAATGAGAGTTCAACATCTGGTGGTCAATATTTAGAACACTCAGACATTTCATGTGCTATAGTATGTATGATAACTTCTACAAAGAAAGTCTCAGATGCAAATATTAGGGATCTTATGATTAGTAAGACAGTCAAACAGTATATCCACAAAGGCAAACAGTATAATGCTGGTAAGTTCAGGATATTTGCTAAGTATGCATTAGGTGGTGTGCCCTCAGGATTGGACTCTAACACACTAATAACTGCATATAAAGATATACAGATGCAGCAAGTGTCAGCTAGAGTTCAAGCAATGGCTATAAAACAATCGTCTCAAACTGTGGCACCTAGAGAAGAGCCTAAATATATAATACATAATAACACAGTACAACCCGTGAGAGACAATTTAATTTCAATTAAAGATTTCCCAATACCTAAGACTCAGAAAAATGTTAGACAGTTTCTTGGGAAAGTTAATTTTTATCACGAATATTTGCCAAAAAGTGCGATAATTTTAGAACCTCTTCATAATTTACTCCGAAAAAATACTAAATTTGTATGGTCTGCGGATTGTCAAAAATCTTTTGAAATTATAAAACATTTATTATGCTCACAACCAATCTTAGAAATTTTTGATCAAAATTTGCCTATAAAAATTCATACAGATGCATCTTTAGAAGGTATTGGAGCAGTCTTAAAACAAACACAGCCAAATGGAGTAGATAAACCAGTAGCATACTTCTCAAAAAAACTAAACCAAGCTCAAAAGAAAAAGAAGGCAATTTATATAGAATGCTTAGCAATAAAGGAAGCTATAAGATACTGGCAATATTGGCTTATAGGTAAAACATTCACTGTATATTCTGACCATAAACCACTAGAAAATTTAAATATTAAATCTAGGACAGACGATGAACTAGGGGATTTAACATATTATTTATCACAATATGATTTTGTAATCAAATATGCACCTGGTAAACACAATGTTGAAGCAGACTGTTTGAGTAGGAACCCAGTATTAGATGCAAATGAGAGTACAGATGAACAATTGAAAATTGTAAACATGATAAAATTTAATGATATTATTACAGACCAAAAAAACAATTTAGACATACAAAAAAATAAATCAAATTTGATACTAAAACATAATGTATACTATAAAAACTTTAAAAAACAACAAAAAATTATTTTATCTGAAGATTATAGTAAAAAGCTCATTAAACATGTACATGAAAACATGTATCACTTAGGTATTAAGCAAATGCAAAACAAAATTAGTAAATTATACACAGCAAAAAACTTAACAACAAACATAAAAAAACATTGTCAAAGCTGTGAAATATGTATAAAAAACAAGAACAGGGGGCATGCTAAATTTGGTCTAATGTCCCAGTTAGGTCCTGCCACAAAACCTTTTGAAATTGTCTCGATAGATACAATTGGAGGTTTTGGAGGCTCACGATCAACAAAAAAGTATCTACACCTTTTAGTGGACCACTTTACCCGATATGCATACATTGTTACTTCAAAGACACAAAATGCTAATGATTTTGTAAAACTACTCAATAAGGTAGTAGAGTCTTATACTATTGGGATGGTACTCACTGATCAGTACCCAGGAATCAACTCAAAAGAATTTAAATCATTTTTGAATAGAAAATCAATACCAATAATTTTTACTGCCGTAAATGCCCCATTTTCTAACGGATTAAATGAACGACTTAACCAAACTCTTGTAAACAAAATAAGATGTAAATTAAACGAAAACAATAGTAATAAAAAAGCATGGACAACCATTGCTCATAACTGCGTAGATAAATATAATAATACTGAACATACAGTTACAGGGTTTGCACCTAAATATTTATTAAATGGTACAGATGTTTCTTTTTTACCAAATGAATTAAAAATAAATAAAACAGAAGTAGAGTGGATCAGAGATAAAAAAATAGCATTTGAAAATTCATTAAAATCACATAACTGTAATAAACAAAGATTTGATAAGAATAGGACATACTTTGATTTCAGCGCAGGGGATTTGGTTTATGTAGAAAATGGTAACAAACTGAATAGACGTAAATTAGATGAACTAAAGATTGGTCCATTTAAAATTATTGAAAAAATATCTAATTCAATTTATAAAATTGATACAGGTCATAAAAAATCTGAGTCAAATCTCTTTCATATTACTAAACTTATACCATTTCTTAAACAAAAAACTTAAATACTATCATTAGTATAATTAATACTATCAATAATGGAAATTTGAGAAGAATCTGAATATGCATGTATACTTATTGTGTATTTGTATGTATACTTTAGTGTTAAGTTAGTTAAAGTATTAATTAATATATAACTAAATGTAAAATAGGTAACTTAAGGTAAGATTGTCATAATTTTTTTTTGGAAATTGTTTAACATTAGTTAAACAAAACAAATTTGTTTTGTTTTACACATTGCATATACAATAGGTACTATTAAAAGATTTTAAGGATTGATGTTTAAATTGATATAATTTAAAATAGTTGACTTTTGTTGTTAAACTTTTACTTTAATTTTATTGTTAGATTACTTGAGATTTCTTAGATGTGTAATTTCAATGAAAGTTTTGGTAAACTTTCTTTTTGAGGAGGGAGATGTAAAGAAAATATATATTCTTTAATTTATTATCTACAATGTCATCTAAGTGAAGAATTTTATTATGCTGGCAATATTGTGAGAAAACAGCGCTTAAAAAGAGTGACTAACTAAATTGGAAATAAAACTACAAAATATAAAGGGAATTTAGAATTAAAATAATATACTTTAATCGCCGTTTCTTTGTTTTACAGGTAAGATTAAAGATATTTGCAATAGATGCGTAGATGTTATAGCGATTTACGTTAAATAAAAAACTTTGTTTTACAGAGCAACACGTAGATATTATTTGTTCTTCATTCCCATAAAATTACATTATATTTATATAAAATATGTCTATTCTCTTTTTATTTCAAATTATTTATAAGAGCTTTTAAACTTATATGTTGAGCTTTGAACTACCCTCTTACTAAACTAAAGCTTACCACACTAAAATAATAAGTCTAATTATTACATAATAATATAGAATTTATTTCACAGAAATGAAGAAGGGCGTCAAGCTATTATAAATAGTAATACAGAATTTAAAAAAAAAGCAGCTTGATATGTTGGAAGCCCAGCACTTCTATCAAGTTGAAATATCAAAATTAAAAATTAAAAAGCTACAATTACAAATAGCACTATTGGAGACTCGACCACCCGACAAGAAGAGGTTCCCGCGCGACCTCCTTACGGACGACCCCAACAAGGATGGCGGTCCCCTCAAGGGTACAAACACCGCCCCTCAAACAACCCACTAAGGGCCCCGCCGTGCCGCAAAGGAAGCCCCCGTGGGCGACCAAACGCGGCGCCGCGGTGCGGCCCTACTCAGATACAAAAAAAAATGATTCTTAGAAAACATTCTCTAAAACAAAACTCCATTGTTACAGTGTTGCTGCGACCACCCCCGGCCCGCGAGCACCTGCGCCTACTTGGCCCAAGTAGGTACATCGTGTGTGGGCGGCAATGACCGCCGCAAAAACTGGAAAGATGACAGCGCCCCGCAGACCGCTATGCGAGGCGACATTCCCGGATAAGACACTAGAGGGCGGCGACTTACGTGTAACACGTAAGTCGCCGCCTCTGTCGCTGGTCGCTCGGAGCTGGGCCTCCCCAGGTACCGCCTGGGGTCTCACCTGGCTCGGGCTTGACCGCCGGGGCAGCGTGAAGACTGAAGTAACCCCTCCACAACACAACCGATCCAAGACTACAAGCCCATGACCTGCTCCAATCTAGGGGCAGCGGTAGACACCGCTGGCAGGGGGCCGAAGCCCCGAACCAGCCACTGCACGTCCCCTGCGGGACATTGTGAAGACTAGAGAGATCGCAGTCTGGCCGTCAATAGCTAGACGACTCAGAGTGCGATAGCCCCGCAGTCCACTCTGGTGTCCAGTAGCTGAACTGATCGATAGCCCCGCAGTCATCAGGTTCTGCTAAGCATGAGGTCTTCAAGAGCGATAGCCCCGCAGTCCTCTTAAGACACTCACGTAGCGTAGGAAGGTAGTGCTGAGCGATAGCCCCGCAGTCCTCTTCACTGCTCTCATAGGGTTTTATGTATAAGTACAAGTTTGCTAATATATGTATAAGCTAGACAGAAACCAGAATAAATGATAACAGCTACCAAAGACGTCTATGATTTCTGCACTGGTAACCCTATCGCCCTACATTTGGCGCCCAACGTTGATGAAGTTAGCTACAGATGTCAAGTATAATTAACGTATTGTGAAGTACCCACTATACAAATGAAATACCAGAAGAATATACCCTCATTATAGGAATATTATTTTAAAACAAATATACATTGAAGATTAATTTCGTAAACTACCCACTATTTTTGAGAAAAGTACGCGTATTTGAAAAGCTTTATAATGTTCGAATCTTGAAAAGATTTGTCAGCAGACGCAATCAAGCAGTTAAACGAAATATTAAGTAAACTACAACTGAAAACAATGTCTACCAAAAGTTTTGCGCAGTGTCATGCTAAATATAATGGCGAACGTTGTTTTAATAAGGTGAAGGAGTTTCTTACCAAAATAACAGTTTTCAAGAAAGTGGAAATTTTTTCCGACGAAGAAGCCTTGGAAAAGCTATCCTTGGTACTCACAGAAAAGGCTGCTACTTGGTGGATAGTATAAAACCGAGAGTAAAAAAATGGAATGCGGCAATAGAAGCGATCCGGTCGGCTTTCGCGCCACAAAAACGCCCGCATGATATTTATTTGGAAATATTTGCGAAAAAACAAACAAGTGAACCTATTGATGAATTTGTTTGTGAAAAAAGAGCTTTGTTGGCGCAGGTACCTACAAAGCGTCACAAAGAGGACGAACAATTAGATATGATCTATGGGCTCTTGAAAATACAGTACAAAAAGGACATAGCCCGAGAAGACTTAAAAACATTCGACGAACTTTTGCAACGCGGCCGTCACATAGAAAATCTTTTAGAAAAAGCTGCAGACGGTGGTATTGAAGAAAGAAAAGCGTTAAGATGTACATTTTGTGGCAAGAGGGAACACGCAGTTGAAGTTCGTCGCAAAAGGCTTGCCGAAATAAAAAAGGAAGCTATGGCAACCGACAACGTAACATCTAAAGATCAAATTAAATGTTACGGTTGTGGTGCACCTGGAGTGTATAGAAGCAGGTGTGGGACGTGTAAAAATAAAGAGTCGCCGCCGAAACCTGTTGCATTTTATACCATGGAGACAACCATAAAAAACCAATCTAAAATACCGACTATAGAAATAGTTGTCAACGGCGAAAATGGATACGCTCATATCGACACAGCTGCCAGAACTAGCATTGCAGCTATACAAATCGCTGGTACGAAAAGGAACACAATTTGCGGAATGCACAGCAGAAATAATTGCCGATTTCGTTTACCGTATTGCCCGAGGCGAAAGATAACAGGACCCTTCTAGGTATTGACTTTCTGGAATCGTCGGGAATAGTCTTAAACTTGCCTCAAAGATGTTGGCATTATATAGATGAACCAGAAAGAGAACATAAAATTTTGTAGTCGTGTAACCAAAAAATCCCGTTTAAAGCCGCAAAGGCTATAACTTTTGGAGGTGAGCCAAAGGAACCTCTAAATGATTTTCTGAGGTGGGCTAGAGAACTCACAATGGTTTCACCGATGGCCGAAACGCCATCACCACAAAGGGACCAAGACACTCCGCCAGACGCAAAAAGACCACGCTGGACTTTACACACACCACCGCGACCAGTACGTCCCCGAGAGCCCGCTGATAAATACTCTTCTGTTGATCCACGCATTATTATTATTATTATTATAATTATGTTCCAATAAGGGCTCCAAGGAGGGTGGAAGGACAAGGAGATGAATAGTATACCTAACACACTATGGATACAAAAAAAAAAAACAATTTTAAAAAAACCACCAAGCCGGTACCGAGGGTGAACAACCCAAGTGCCAGGCTAAACAACCAATCGGCTGACCCCAGGGTGAACAACCCAAGGGTGAACCCGACAAATACACCTTTGGCTGCTGCTCAGGCTAACAACCCGACCGCAGCGCCATCCACGACTCTGGCGACACCTCTGGTGTCTAACCAGAATACGGAGCCAGTGTCGACCATCGACCTCTCCTCTTTGAGGGCAGCAATGCCCGTACCTGCGGGACCCGGCCTGGAAGAAACCGGCTGGAGCCTGGTAAGGACAAAGAAGAGAGCGTCGAAAAAACCAAACCCGTCCAAGAAGACCCGTAACGCCAACAGGGCGAAAGCCCGAGTGGAAAGGCAAGCACGGTGTCTGACCTCGGGTGGAAGTAAGCGGCTTGAAGTCGCTGAAGGGCCTGAAGGGGCCCACGTTGCCCCCGCCAGTGACGTGCTGCCCCGAGGCGAAGACGAAAGTCAAGCCACGGGGAAGTGTACTCCTGTGGGGGCGCCACCTGCCAAGACGCCTGTAGCGGCCAAAGTACCCTCTAGGCAGGGTCAACCTGGACAGGGTAAACGGGCGAGACGAGCGACACGTGGAGGGAAACCTTCAAGTGAAACAAAGCCCGTCAAAAGAACTCGCCCGGACGAGTCTCGCACTCCCCAGGGCAGTGGCAAGCGATTCAAACCGCTGCCAAAGACCGGCTCCACGAGCTACTCCGACGCACTAAAGGCGAATGACCTTTGCGTCGCGGTCATGCTGGAGCCTTACCTCGACCTCACCAAGGCACAGGCAGAGGACATCGAGGGCCAGCTGCAGGGCGTGCTAGATGAGGAGATTTTCTCGCCCGGCACGTCAAGCGCACCCGTCGCTGCGCCACAGTTTAGGGGTAAGGCCTTCTACAGTGAGGGCGCCCTTAAGATGTGGTGCAACGACGAATATTGCCCTACAGCGAAGCCCTACAGTGGCTTCGCCGATCCCTGGTAAGGATCCCATCACCACGGGAAGGCACCAAACTGGTCGTCAGGAGGCAGTCTGAGATCCCGAAAAGGATCAAGGCTGGACTCCTGGTACCACAAATCGGACCAGATGATACACTGGTCCGTATACAAACAAGGCTAAAGTACCAGAATAGCCAATACAATGTGGCCAACTGGGCCCTCTACCATGCCGAGGCGCAGGAGGAAAAGAAATGTCTCTTCCTAGTGCTCGGCATCCCAGGAGAGGACGTCGTGAAGCTCAAGGCTAGCGAGCGTAGAGTATACTACAAACAAGGCAACCTCTACGTTCGCTTCCTTGATGAACGTCCCGCCCCACCAACTAACCCAGACGAGGAGCCAGAATCGGCCCCACAACACCCTAAGGACGGCAATGGAGGGGAACCTCTGATACTCGTTGAGGAGACAGCCTGCCGGGGTCCACCTCCTGAGGAGTTGGAGGACCTACCGGTGGGCGAGAGTGACCTCGACGACATAGAGGATATGCTGAACAGCGATGATGGCGCTGTCTGCACCCCCCCATAACACCCTTATAGCCATCCAAACCAACCTCCAGCACAGCCATACAGCAACGGCTAACCTACGCAGAGAGCTGGAGGTAAAAACCAACACCGTAGCCCTAATCCAGGAGCCGTGGATTAGGAAGGGCAGGATCTGCGGTCTAAACAATATTGGAGGTAAGATACTTCTCAACACTACCATTGATAACCCGCGCACTTGTATTTACACACCAAAACATGCGTGTACTACCTTAATGACCGAGTTCTGTTCCAGAGACCTTACCTCTATTAGGTTAAAGGAACCCTTATCAAACCTGCCTGACGTGGTGATAGCATCAGCCTACTTGCCGGGCGATGCTGACATCCCCACTCCGGAGCTGGCTGCGCTGGCACACCACTATAATTGATCTTACATTAGCAAGTGAGCACGCATCGCAATACATATCGAATTGGCATGTTTCGAACGAAGCATCGTGCTCAGACCATCGCTGGATCAAATTTAACTTTGAAATGAAACTTTAACTACCCGATCCCCGACGGAATCCCCGCACGATGGACCGGAAACTGCGGAGAATCTGCGAAGCATCAACCCAACATACGCTACGGGGACTGTTAAGGACATCAACAGTCATGTCGTCAACCTTACACAGACACTGATCGATTGCTTTGAACAAACATGCCCACTTTCCACACCCAGAACTGGACCACAGAACAAACACCAATGGTGGGGTCCGGAACTGGAAAGACTACGTCGTAGAGTGAGAAAGTTGTTCAATAAAGCAAAAAACTCGCGATTAGACCAACATTGGGATGCCTATACGCAGGCCCGACAACAATATAAGAAGAGAATCAGAACCAGGAAAACTGAGTGCTGGAGAAACTTCTGTACTAACATAGAGAACAACAACCAGGCTAATAGAGTCAAAAGCATACTGTGTAGTAGAGGCGAACACAATCTTGGCTCCCTGAAGAAGCCTGATGGTGAGTATACCAAAACAGACTCGGAAGCCTCAGAGCTGCTATTAAAAACACACTTCCCTGGATGTCGCATATCAGATGCGATGGAAAAATGGGAAGACAGATGGGAAAAAAAACCAGATGATACAGACTGGGATACGGCCCGCAAAGTTGTCAACCATGACAAACTAAGATGGGCAATTGACAGCTTCCTACCATTCAAGGCGCCAGGACTAGATGGTGTCTTCGCAGGCCTACTGAGATGGTGTGATAGGACACTACTGGACCATCTTGTAAAAATCTATAGGGGCTGCCTGGCGCATCAGTACATCCCCTTGAAATGGAGAGAAGTTAAAGTAGTCTTCATCCCCAAACCTGGTAAAGGCGACTACACACAACCCAAATCACACCGACCTATTAGTCTCACATCTTTCCTACTAAAGGTTCTCGAGAGGCTAATAGATAGGGAAATCAGGGAAACTGCGTTAGTCAGTCACCCTCTACACCTCAATCAACACGCATACTCGATGGGTAAATCAACAGAATCTGCCCTACATCGAGTTGTTTCATATATAGAAGACAATCTAAATCACAAAAGGTCAACACTGGCCACCTTTATCGATATCGAGGGAGCCTTTGACAAGACCAACTTCACCAGCATTAGCCAAGCTCTGTCTAGGCATGGTGTAGATTCCACAATCTCAGGGTGGATCGACAGCATGCTAAGATATAGAGCTATACAATTCACTGTGAGCGAAGTGACTAGAGGAGTGGTGGCTAGAGGCTGCCCCCAGGGCGGTGTACTCTCCCCTCTTCTATGGAACATTGTTGTGGATGAGCTCATCACACAACTTAATGACCAAAGATTCCTCACAATAGGCTATGCAGACGATCTTACTATTCTCATCAGCGGTCCTTTTGAGAGCTTTACATGCGATCAAATGAGACTTGCACTGAAGATCGTGGAACAATGGTGCGTAGCACACAACCTGACAGTGAACCCATCCAAAACAGAGATGATCATGTTCACAAACAAACGCAGCCTAGGAAATCTCAGACTTCCCAAGCTATTTGGTACACAACTTACTCTTACCAAAGAGGTCAAATACCTAGGAGTAATACTGGACAGTAAACTCCTGTGGAACAAGTACCTCGATGAAAAACTGAATAAAGCCTGCATTATCTTCTGCCAATGCAAGCGGCTACTCGGCAAAAGCTGGGGACTATCACCCAAAATTACTTTATGGCTATACAGAACAGTCATAAGACCAATAATCACTTACGGTGCTGTTGTCTGGTGGCAGAGAACAGAGCTAAGCACCGTCATAAACAAACTGCAGCAATTCCAGCGACTCCCATGCTCCGCGGTCACTGGCTGTATGCGCACAACGCCTACTGCCGCACTGGAGGTGGCTCTTGGTCTGCCACCCCTGGATCTATTCATACAGCAGGAGGGAGCCATGGCGATCATTAGACTCAAACACCTGGGTCTATGGCACAAACGTGGGGGATCGCACTCTAAATTATGGGATCAATTGGTGGAATACGAACCACTGATAGCAGCGCCATGCGATAGAATCCCAAAACACCATATCTTCACAAGAAGATACTACATCCAGATACATGGAAATGACCGAGATCAATCCGGCATTAACGAAGTCCGAATTTACACGGACGGTTCCAAGACTAGGTCAGAAACTGGAGCCGGAGTTTTCTCGCAAAACCTAAACATAAACATATCACTAGCGATAGGCCAACACAGTTCCATATTTCAATGTGAATGTGTGGCAATAACTTACGCTGCCACAACGGCCATGTCAAGGGGTATTAAGGACTACAACATCCGAATAATATCCGACAGCATGGCCGTCTTAAAGGCATTGGAGGGCAACACAATGACCTCTGGTATTGTCTTCGAATGCCACCAAGCACTGGAACAGCTCGCTATATTCAATGGGGTAATCCTCCAATGGATTAAAGGGCACAGTAACTCACACGGGAACGATGCCGCAGATGAGTTGGCAAGGAGGGGCTCGGCAACCCTACTCCTGCCCATATCGTTTAACCAAATACGATGCTGGGTCAGGCAACGGACCTGTGAAGCACACAACCGGAGGTGGAAAAACTCACCCGGCTGCAGACAGTCCAAACTGGTGCTGAATCAAGTCACACCACGACTCACCTGCAGACTGATCAGTCTTAGCAGACCGGAAATCAGAACGGTTGTCGGAACTATTACAGGACATCTAGCCCTGAACCGACAACTATTCATAATCAATGCCACGGACAGTCCCCTGTGCAGGGGATGTCTGGAAGCTGAAGAAACGGCCGTCCACGTAGTCCTGGAATGCGAGGGAGTGGCCACACAACGGGCAAGTATCATTCCTGATACAAAGTCGCTCCTAGAAGCCTGTGAACGCCCCAGGAGGCTTCTGCGCTTCTGGAAGGAGCTTGGCTGGCTCACCTAGTCAACCAATCCTCGATGCATAAAGGACCACTCTGAGTCTAAATGCGGAAACCGAAGCCCACAACCAATACCAATACCAATATGTTCCAATAAATCCTTGTATTCTATTGATATTTATTTACAACCTCATGAAGGTACCTTACTTACTAAACATGAGCAACAAGTTTTCAATAACTTGCTTACAGAATATAGTTCAATTGTGAATAAAACACAAAACCTACTTCATTGCTGTACATAGAATAGACACAGGCAATCATCCTCCAATTAACCATATAGACTTTCACTCATAATGCAACAACAACTACGGGAGAAAATAGATGAAATGCTTAAAGATGACTTAATTGAGGAATCAGACTCCTCATGGTCAGCACCTGTAATACCTGTACCTAAAGGCGAGAATGATGTAAGAGTTTGTATAGACTATAGGAAGCTAAACGAGATTACTAAACCTGATAGATATCCGTTACCACGTATCGATAACTTACTGCATCAAGCTAAAGCTATGCCATATATGTCTACAATCGATTTAAAATCAAGTTATCATCAGATCTCAGTGCCTCCAGACGACCAAGACAAAACAACGTTCGTTTCACCGTTTGGAATGTATCGGTTTAAACGTATGCCTTTTGGATTACGAAATGCACCTCCTACGTTTCAAAGATTGATGGTTAAGCTTATAAGAGGCTTGAAAGCGACCTGTGTCATTTCCTATTTAGATGATTTAAGCCTGAGGTCTGTCTCTTTCATTCAACACCTAAAAGATTTAAGGGAAGTATTTGATAAACTTAGAGAATATAATTTGCATGCCAATAGAAAGAAATGCAAGTCTGGTTGTTCTGAAGTAAAATATTTGGGACATTTGATTGTGCCTGAAGGAATAAAAGCAGATCCTGAGAAAGTGTCTGTTATTGCTAACCTACAAGAACCTAGAAATCTTAAACAATTGATATTATTTCTACAAACAGCTTCTTGGTACCGTAGATTTATATACAAGTTCGCAGAAATTGCAAGGCCATTAACTAATTTAACACGAAAGAAAGTTATTTGGCAAATGCAAATGGAATTCGGAAGAACGAGAATCCTTCAACAAGTTAATGATTGCACTGACAGCACCTGTACTGAAACAAGCTAACGAAAATTGCCATTTACAATTAAAACAGATGCAAGTCAGTATGCCATAGCCGCAGCTTTAGTGCAGGGGGAGGGCGAGCATGAACATCCTGTAGAATATGCAAGTAGATTGCTGACTCCAGCCGAATGCAATTATACAGTAACAGAAAAAGAAGCCTTAGCAATTGTATGGGCTATATCGCAATTTCGTGGTTACATACTCGTATATAAAGAATTCGTTTCCCGCAGTTTCACCAGCGTTGATAGTCACAGCCCTAGTCCTTATGAGTGTAACATTATGTTACATATATTTAACTTTCCTCAATGGATGCTATGACAGGTAGTTTCAGAAATTAACACATGAAAATAACGTTTACGAGTAGAAGGAACACGTTTCTTAACTATAACAGATCACCAACCTCTAAAATGGTTAATGAATCTGAAAACCCCAACTGGTCGTCTTGCGAGATGGGCGCTTCATTTACAACCATATGAATTTAAGATTTTGTATACGCCAGGTCGTATCAATATTGTAGCTGATACATTGTCACAAATCAAATCATAACGAAAAGTGCACAATTTGTGAAATAGAGATGGAACTTCCAAGACTCAATGAAAAACAAATACGAGAAGAACAGTTGAGAGACAACAAAGGCACACCAATAAATGCCCACTCTGAGTTTTATGCGTGGTATGGCCGTCCAAAAGGGCGTAAGTGCGCGGTATAGCGGGGCGCTTACGCGTTCGCCTTAGTTATTAATAAAAATTGATATGATGTGTATGATTGATATGATTGAACTAAAATGTTAAGACTACATTTTTAGGACATTAGGACATTGAAACATTGAAACCAATAATATATAAAACCAGCAAATATTGCAAACTTTAAATTTAAAAAACCAGTCAGGTGCGAGTCGTACTTGCGCGCCGAGGGTTCCGTACCTACCCAGATTTTACGTAGATTCTCGATTTTCTCAGGAACGGGTTGACCTAGTAAGTTGATATTTATACCAGACACTGAGGTCTATGGTCCCTATTAGGTGTATAAAAATCGAGGCCCTGAGTCAACACGATAAAAAGATATGGGCAAATTTAGATTTGTAAGTACCAAAATTTACCTTAATTTTCAACTTTTTTTACTTTTCGGAATTTTTCCTTTACTTGTGCTGTAAGACCTTGCTTTTTAGCAAATTTCGTGATTCTAGGTCAACGGGAACTTCCATATAGGTTATTTAATAAATTGCAGGAGATTTTAATAAAGAGTTTCTTATATTTTCTTACTATTTTAATTCCTTTTGGACACATTTACAATCAACGATCTTACAGCAATCAACAATCAATGGTGGCACACTTCCGATTCAGAGACAAAAAATCACAAGTGACAGCTGTCAACTGTCAAACTGACAGCGCGTTCATAAGGAACTATAAAGGAAACAACTTATGAAAATATTATACATAAACTCCCCTCGCTGACGAAGTCTGTAATATTTAGAAGAATATAATTCAACCCAATAGCTAATAAACTTAAAGTTGAACAAAACAAGTTTTTATTTCACTAATTTACCACCTATTAATCATAAGAATAAATTTTAGGTTTAGCTATAGCTAAGTATTGCATTGGTTTGATAACGGTATTACTATACCAATATAGTAACTAAATACAGTACTTAATACTACTAATTGTTAGGAACAGTCACATTTGGTTACCTATCTAGTTATAAAATAAAGTTAAAAAATAAATAAAGGAAAGTCGGTAAATTACTTATTAAGGGGTAACAATATAAGTTTAGATATTGGCCTGTGGTTTTCACCATTAGCAGTTTTAAGCCATACAGATCTAACAAGGCCATCAGAAGAGTTCCTATACACTTTCAGTACTCGAGCCAAACACCAGTAGGAAGGAGGAAGATTGTCCTTTTTAATTATTACCAAATCTGACACTTCAATATTTCTATTGACAGTGTGCCATTTGGTTCGATTTAGAAGTTCACTCAAATTTTGTTTGTACCATTGGTTCCAAAATTGTTGCTTAATTTTACAAATTAATTGATACTTATTAAATCTATTATCTTGCACATTTAATAAACTAGGTTCTGGTATATCAACAATAGAATTACCAATAAGGAAATGTCCTGGCGTCAAGCTTGTAAGATCATTGGGCATGTCTGACAATGCACAGAGAGGTCTTGAATTTAAATTTACTTCGATTTGGGTTAAAATGGTATTGAGTTGCTCATAATGCATTTTCAAATTGCCCAGCTGTCTTTTTAACAAATTCTTTGTAAGCTTAATTCCCGATTCGTAAATACCGCCCATATGCGAAGCAAGAGGAACTGTGAAGCACCATTTAATACAATGTTGAGAAGCGAAATCTACTATTTCACTGTAGGAGTCCTTATTTTTAAACATTTTATACAGAGCATTTAATTCATTGTGAGCATCGTGGAACCCTTTGGGCGTTATCTAAAGTAAATTGTGTTATATAATCCACGTCTAGATATCAGTCTTTTCAAAGCCAGAATAAAAGACTGAGAGGTCAGGTCATTGACCAACTTCAAATGTATAGCCTTAGTGGCTAGGCATATAAATAGACAAATGTATCCTTTAGTGTAGGTCGCTCTACGAAAGGTGTTACATTTTACTGAAATAGCATCAGTAAAGTCGACGCCTACATGTAAGAATGGTCTTTCTAGATGTAATCTAGGTTGCGGTAGCGCAGACATTTTTTGTTGACAAGATTCAGAGCGATATCTAATGCAAGTTACACAATTGTGAATGACCTTTCTGACTTCCAATCGTCCAATAATTGGCCAGTAATTTAAACGTAAATTCGACAATGTATTTTGTATGCCCGAGTGAAATAATGTAAGATGCAGTTTGCCTATAATCAATGTACTCGTAGTTATATGATGTTTGCAAGGTAAAATGCAAAGTGGATGTTTTTGGTTAAACTGAACGTTAGCATGCTTAACCCTTAAACGCATAGTGTCCCAAAATTGAATCACCAAATTAAACCACCAATATCCGTCCATAATATTTGTGTTTGATACATTAGGCTGTATGAAATGTTTCTTTTGCTCCTTCTCTAACCATAGAATAACTCAACTAGTGACATTTTGTGTTGTTATCTGTGGCTGATTGACATTTCACTTTTTGGCGCGCGTTTCTCAAATAGGTTTGAGTTGAGTGCACTTTGGCGACATATATCACGAAGTTATTTGCTGATTTTGGAGAAAAAAAAATTGTTTTCTAAAGGTAATGACTATTATTTATACAATAACTTATCCTTTTTTCAATTTACCATAATTGTTATATGAACAGGAAGCTTTTTTGTTTTGATGCAAAAATGGGACAGCATGCACTATTGGTAAAAATTACTACTGCTATTTGAAGCTATACATTTTGTGATTTTATTTATTTTGCTTTGGTGAGGTATGCATGTGGTTGGTTATTTTGTTTTAGAAATGGTAGAAAATAATAGGAGAGATGGTGACATTCGAGTTTTGGTTGCGCCAGCTAGAAGATGGCGCCATTTCTGAAGACGATTTCGAATCGGACGGTGACGAACTTGATTTTTATCCTACCCAACAAGATTTACTAGATGTTTTAGAAAATGATGATGACGACGGTGAGGCTAGGTCTAATGATAACAACGAAGAAATTATACCCGATCCTCCTATTGTAATAGCGGATGCTGTTCCTTCAAATAATAATGATGCACCGGTACATTCTTTAGACATTCAGAGGTTGATATGGAAAAACCAACCTCTGCCATTCAACGAAAATGCCATAAAATTTAATGGAACTGAAGAATACCCTGAAAGTTTGATGAACCTTCAGACACCTTTCCAATTTTTTTCCTACTTTTTTACTGAAGAATTTCTTTCACAAATTGTTACTGAAACAAATAATTATGCTGTACAAAATAAACCTGATAGACCTGACGTCATAACATTAGGAGAACTGCGAAAATATCTGGGAATCTTGATTTATATGAGTGTCTACCACTATCCAAGTGTACGTGGTTATTGGGCTAACAAGCACGGGTTTGAGGCAATTATAAAAGCGATGCCTGTCAATAAATTTGAAAAAATAAGAAGAGTACTTCACTTCAACGATAACAATAAACACCTACCAATAGATCATCCCCAGCATGACCGACTTCACAAGCTACGCCCTGTAATTGAACATCTCAATACCAAGTTCTCCAGCATTCCAATCAGTCAGCGCTTATCCATCGATCAGCAAATGTGTGCCACCAAGATGGGCCATTTTTTAAAACAATACTTGCCTAATAAACCCCATAAATGGGGTTTTAAATTATTTGTATTGTGTTCTCTGACAGGTTTTGCTTATCGCTTTATAATTTACGCTGGCAAAGAAAAAGATGATTGTTTGCCTAACGAGCCTGATATAGGGGTTGTATCACAAACAGTGATAAAACTTGCTAGAATAATTCCCAGACATGCTAATCACATTATATACCATGATAATTTCTATACCACATTGCCCTTGATGTATTATTTTGCTAAAGAAGGAATACAATGTGTAGGAACTGTTCAAAGAAACCGCCTAGGTAAGAAATGTAAATTACCCTCAAAGCAGGATGTAATGAAAAAACAAGTGCCAAGAGGGTCGTATGTGGAATATATTACACATATTGATGGGGTCGACATGTCTTCAGTGAGCTGGAAAGATAACAAACAAGTAGTTATGCTCTCGACCTACGTAGGAGCTGAACCAATACAGTCCATCGAACGGTATGACAAAACAGAAAAGAAAAAAATAATTATAGACTGCCCAAAAATAGTCAAAGAATCCAACGCCCATATGGGGGCGTTGATCTCATGGATTCATTTTTGGGCAGATATAGAATAAAAGTCAAGACCAGGAAATGGTATATGAGGATTTTTTACCACCTTTTAGATTTAACTATTATAAACTCTTGGGTTCTATACAAAACTGTAGAGACAAGAAAAGGATCAGATCCAAAGAAGCTGAAAAATCTGTCAGAATTCAGGT